GATAGTTGACAATTGACCATTATCTATTTGTCCATATGTATGTATTTTGATTCATAAAAGAATGAAATCATAAGGAAAGCTAATATTACATCGAGTATTTAAGAAAGTATTCAGTTACTTAGTGTCGCATTTTGTTTTTAAGCTTACCGCAGTCATTATTTATAGTTTAAGGTCGACATCTCCGTATATTCTCTGGCTTTAGATTTGCTGTATTCATTATTGAATTGCACACATCTAGTTGTCACTCAAAAGACTCTGATCCATGTAAATACCAGGCAGATTGCACTGTTAGGAGCATTAGAATTGATATTACAACGAAATCCGATCAACAAGTCTATTAACCTTTCTCCTTTTAGTGATTGTCTTTTTTCCATGATTGGTAATCAGTTTTAAGCTTGCAGTTTACCCACTTCTGCTCAATTGTTATGATTTCCAAGTTTTGATTTCCTATCATTCATATTTTTGAAGTCTATCAAATATCACCTATTTTAAGGAAACATCTTAATTTACAAACTCATAAAATGACTACTGCTAAATACTGACTGCTGAAACACGTATTCGTTTGCATATGCCAGGAACTATCCCTTCACATTTAGCTGCGTCTTAATACATAAGCGCCTTGTTATCTTATCATTATTTGTCCCTTGGGTTCCTTGTGAAATATAAGGCTTCAGTTGCACGCCTCCACTCCACTCTCTTCTCTGTAGTCTTTTCAACCTGACTCCACGACTGCCCAAAAGCTTTCATTTCTCCCTCAAGCGATCTCCTCCATGTCACCGTCAGCTGGGACGCCCAACTCGCCGTTTCCCATGCAGGTTCCACTCGAGGGCCTGGCCTGGCACGTGATGTCCCCGAACGGTCTTCTCAGTGCATGCCCAATCCATCTCCACTTCTGCATATTTGTTAAGCGGTGGATTGTTGGTTGATTCGTCGCCAGGCCAGAGTAAGTCCCTTGTTGCTTATCATTTCTGGCAATGTACGCGATCTTCAGTGTGAGTATCGAGTGAGCGTAGGCGTAGGCAGCTGTTGATGAATGTCTGTGGTTTTTTGTAAATGCTTTTCATAACGCGCCGAGTCTCCGAACCATCGCATGGAAGCACTGACTTGACATTGGTGCTGAAAGTCTGGATCTTGTTCACGCTTTATGCTGAGTGCAGTGCAGTAGATCTCCACACTGAGTGTTTCAGGTTAGTGAAGGTCTGTTTTGCTTTCCTTCCGACGCTGGCTTTGACGTCGTGATCTGTGCCTTCACCTGTAGTTGAAACGATGGTGCCTGCCTAGGTGGGTGAAACAGACTACTTGCCTCAGGTTTCTCCCTATCATGGGGAATAGTGCTTGTTGTTGTTTGGGTATCTTCATCACCTCTGTCTTGTCTGCATTCACTTCAAGTCCCGTTTTCGCTGCCTCTTCTTTTAGCCTGTTGGTTTTTGTCTGTAGATCTTCGAGTTTGTGCGACAAGACATTTGACATGAGCCATCATCGGCAGCGACATCCAAATCTTCTTCTGGGGTGTTTCCACCGGTTCAGTCAGCGCATGCCCATCTTCTCGTTCCTCATGGTTTGCTTCATGATCCAGTACAGTCGACTACAATCAGGAAGATGATCAGTGATAGTAGGCAGCCTTATTTTACCCCTGTCTTCACTTCCAAAGCGTCGCTGAGCTTTCCATTATGAATCACTTGGCATGTAGCGTTATGTAGCATGTAGCTGTTGAATGAGGTTGATAAAAATTTGTGGTACTTCGTAGTGTTGAAGCAGTTTCGAAATTCTTCTCGGTCGACGCTATTGAAGGCCTTTTCACAATTGATAAAGTTGAGTTAGAGTTGAGTTGACTACCATTCTACGCCCTGTTCTATGATGATGCGTGGCGTAGCGTTGCAATTTGATTCGCACATGGTTTGTTTTTCGTGAAACCAGTCAGCCTGTTCTGATTGTAATTCGAGTCGTGATCAGTTTTTGGTCTCTCCAGGATGATGTGACTTAAAATTTTGGTTGTGGTGGACAGGGAGAGGAGCATGATTCCGCGCCAGTTCTTGCAAAGACTGAGATCATCCTTCTTTGGGAGTTTGACAAGATAACCCTTCTCCCAATTAGTCAGCCAATACCTTCCCTTCTCTCCACATCTTCTGCAGGAGTGGTATGAGCGTGTCTGCTGTTGTCTCTCCGTCAGCTCTCACTGCTTGTTAAGGAATTCCATCTGGTCCTGCTGCTTTCCCGGATTTCAGCAAGTTTATGGCGTTCAGAACTTCGTCTTTTATCGGAGGGCTTGTGTTCACTGGTGGTTCTGTGGCTGGGCTGGTGGTGGTGATATTTCTGGATGAGTTGCAGGTGATGATCGATTGAAGTGGTCAGCCCACTGTTTCTTTTGATTCTCCTCTTTGGTATCTAGGTTTCCCTCACTATCTTTGATTGGTTTCATCTGCGTTGATGTCTCCCCTTCCAGCTAGTATTTTGGTTATTTGATATAGTGTTATCAGGTCTCTCCTACCTGGAGCCTATTCTGCTTCACCTGCCAGTGTGTTGTGGAAGTGCTTTTTGTCTTTGTTTGCACCCTTCTTCACTTCCTTGTCCAGTGTAGTGTTTTATAGGTTGTGTTCAGTTCTTTTTTTCATTGTTCATCCCCGCACTGGACTGCACTGGACTAGTTGATCTTCTGCTTCACCATCCTCCTCGCCCTCCTGTATCAGCTTCCATGTGACGGTCGGGATCCATATCTTGTCTTCTTTCTTCTTCCTTCCTAACGCGGTTATGCAGGTTTACTTCCACATCTCTTTCAAAGAGTTTCATTGTTCTTCCATGCCCGACCCTTCAGGGATGTTTTACTTATAATAGGCTGAGGTAAAGATGTCCTTTTAGTTTCGTCCTTCAGTTCAGTTTCTGGGTGGGCGTTGAACTTGAACTGTGGTCTATCGCGAACTTTTTTGAAGGTTTTTAACTTGATTTTGAATGTAGGTTATTTGTACTAGATAGTGGGTGGTGTGAACCTACATCTGCTCCCCTTCTTAATCTTGTGTATATTAGGCTGCATCTCCAATTTCTTCACGTAGAGATGAAGTCGATCTGATTTTTAGTGTGTCCTGGTGTTTGGTGAAGTCAAATTCATGTCGTTCGCTTTGTGAATATCCTTGTGTTTGTACACACTGCCTCGAACCACCAAGTCACAGCTTATTACTTTCGCCTATAAATTATCCATCTGCACTCAGCATGCGGAACAAGATACGGATTTTCAACACCAACGTCAAGTCAGTGCTCTTGTATGGCTCAGAGACTTGGCGCGTCACGAAAGGTATTTCCAATAAACTACAGACATTCATCAACAACTGCTTACGCTCGCTGCTGAAGATCAGATGGCCAGAAAAAATAAGCAACAAGGAACTCTGGGAACGAACCAACCAAGAACCTATCACGCAACAAATATGCAGGAAGAAGTGGAGATGGATTGGCCATGCACTGAGAAGGCCGACTGAAGACATCACGCGTCAGGCCCTCGAGTGGAATCCCGATGGGAAGCGACGAGTTGGACGTCCAAGGGTGACATGGAGGAGGTCGTGCGAGCAGGAAATGAGAGCTTCTGGGCTGTCGTGGGACCAGGTTCAAAAGATCTCAGAGAACAGAGGTCACTGGAGGCGTGCTACTGAAGCCCTATGTTCCACTAGGAACCCAAGGGACTAATAATAATAAATAATAATAAATTATCCAAGTTTTTTAAAATCCTGTTTGAAGACTCAAAAAAGTTTTTCTTACTAAGCATGTGCAATACTGTCTACATGTTGTTTAGAATGGTAATTCTAGAAATTTTTCTGCTACTCGAGAAAGATTTAGGTTCTGGTATAGACCGTGATCGATATACCGATACGTTAATTATGTTAAATATCTAATGGTTTGGAATTTATGCAAAGGTACACTTAGTCTAACGGTAGGGAATAAAAATATTAGGTATGCTGACCGATTTGAGCATTGGGCTAGTCAGATTAGTCATGATAACTAATGAATATCAGAATGTCTGGACGGATACGGAGTGTTAGATTACCAGTGGCAACATGAGTATAGATACGCGTTATTTAGTTGAGGGACACGGTAACTTCTGTTTTACTGGGCTGTAGTGAAATGTGACCGCTAGAATTAGAAAATAACAAAATACCATTCATGCTTGACCTTTACTTTCTATCATCCTTTGAATTTAATTTCATTCACAAACTGAGCGATAGCGAGTTTCAGTATAGAGTTAAGATGTGGTTTCGAATCTCCATCGGTTATTATGCTATAGAACACTTCTTATGACGTTCTTTATCGTCCGCAACCGAAGTTATGGTCACTGCTAGATGCAAGACTAATCTATGCAGCCAATGTTTGTTGACTACTGTTGTTTATGAATATGTAGGTTTTTTCTCATTCATCTGCTCAACCGTCGAATTTGTTCATTGAAGATCTTTGATAATTCGGTGTAATCGCGAATTATTTGGTCTGTTAACTATTATGAAGGAATTCACTGCGTTTAATTGATTTTACATATCAAATAAATGATGGGATATTACACTGCTGAATGGAACTAAACGTCTTAGGCATATGCTGGGTGATCCTAGTGAAAAGTTGTCTAAATTTGCGCACGCAAAAAGTACGTTCGAAGAACAGAAAAGTGATCAGGATTGATGAGGACGTGCCTAAGAGTCAACATTTGAGTTCATACTCATTTAACAGTACAATAAATCGTCACTTATTTGATCTTAGAACAGACTCATTTCTTGTTGTTTTTCCTTCTTCAATTCTTTTTCTCCGGCTCATTTGCATTGTTTTGATTTTATCCAGTTGGTGTCATCGCTTTATTCTAAAATACGATCAGTTAAATCACTGAACAGTTGTGTTAATCCTTTAACTTAATTTGCTGCTCACTTCAATACTATCAAATACGATATATATTTATTTTGGAGCCAAACTCTAGGAAACAATACTGTCAATACTTCTATTGGTTGTTTTTTATTCTTTTTGTTTTCTCGTTACAGTCTGTGAATATTATTCGCATTACGAATGCTTAGATTTCGTCGCTGCTGATTGTAAACAGTGTGCAATCTCTACACTAACTTCAGCACCAAAGGTAAACTATAGTTATTTACTTGCACTTGTTGTTATCCTTGTTATTCTAATTGTTTTCATTGTAAATTTATGCTCGTGGAGCAGTTACTAGTTAGAAATCAAGATTTGTCTGTTTTATATTGTTTCATAAGTCTTTAGCGACATATGGAGATAACTTCATTTTAAGGATGCCAAGTCCAGAAAGCACGTTAGCTTCTATAATGGCAAGACAATTCAAAGTGATTAATTGTCATGTTCAATGAAATTATATTCATTAGCCAGTATTACTTGCATTCCTACTGGTTTTGACTATTTCTTATTCGATGAATAGTTCATGACTATGTTACTTCTGTTTCATCTTCATTTTAAAGGATTGTTCGTTTCGTCATGAGATTCATAAATATGTAGTCTGTCAGATCCGATATTTTTTCAGGTGTGTTGAGAACATTGACCGCTTCAGTGGAGTCACTTTATAAGTAGTGGAGTGATGACCAAATATGTATTTGATCATCACAGTTAAGTATTAGTTTAACTAGACATTAGCCAAGTACTATAGTTTAAATAACACCCGTACAACACTAATAAATTTCATGCTAAATCAGAAGTAATCTTTTCCCTCGCTTTGTGTAGATAATTTCTATTTTTTTGTTTATTTATTAGCGTCCAACCAATATACCAGGAACAGTTGAGACTCGAAATTCGTATATGATGTCACGATTATTGCGTAATTTCTCCAAGTTTTATACTTCAAATGATCCTAATGAATTACCGCTTGTTGACTTGGCTGATTATGAAATGAATTACAAGTCTATCAGTAATGCTAGTACCACCTTTACTACAAATATTAGCAGTGGTGCAAATAATACGGTTACCAGCTGTTCTACTGCTAGCACTTCATCATTGTCACCAATTACGCAATCCTCTTTAACCAGCACACCTAAAACATCAACACAGCATTCTTCAGAAGGTAGTGGTTTTGCTTTATTTGAAGTAACAAATGCACTTTCACTCACCTCAGCAACTACATTGACCACATTGGCATCTAGTGAAGAGCAAGCGTCTGGTGGTGGAACTATAAAATCCACGGTTAATTCTTCTTCCTTATCACCTTCTGCGAATTCGTCAACAACAGCATCTTCATCTCATGTACAGCAGTCTCATCACTGGCGTGAAGGCAATTTACCAGTCAACTCGAAATGTGCATCATGTCGTAAGACATGTTGGTCAGCTGAATGCTTAACTGGGATACGATGTGAATGGTGTGGAGTAACAGTAAGTGACTGGTTCCCTTCTATGGCTGTTCTTTTTACAAATATGTTCGGTTAGTCTGAATCAACAACTGTGGTACATCATACTATTATCCACGCTCACAAAAGTGAATGGGGTAAGGAGAACAATAATGGGAACATGCATGTATTTTTTGATTCGCCTAAGCTACTTTATGACCTATCGAACGTAATATTTATGATTAAAAATGCACGGTATACGGCATATTTTCATAAAAAAGATTGACTACTGCATTCATTTGAAGAACAGAAAGAAGGATTCTTGTTCACTTTTCAGGACATATCCCGGAGAATTTGAATCTTGATGCTTCATAGGTTTTGAATAGCTCAATCGTTCAGCATTTACGTGATGCTGGGTATGATGTCCATGTATCAACGTCATTCAGACTGATTAATTAATAAGTGAAATCTAAACGTTTACACTTTGTTGAAGTTGTTGCAATTAAAAGATACAAACCTGACATCAGTAATAAGAAAAGATTCAGTTGTAAATCTTGTCTTATCTTGGTATTTTAATCGCCTAAATTTGTAACTACAAAATTTCTCCACTTCATTGCCTTCCATCTTTTCACTTCCTGTTTCTACCTACTGTCAATTTTAGAGTTGTGTTCACCTCAGTACTGAACATAGCAAAACTCTGATAACCTTTTGTTACGCCTACTTAGTCATGATATCATTTCGCTTCGATGATTCGAAAATAACGATGTGTACAACTCCCTCCCAATTTCTGCTATCTTCTCTCGAATTTTCACTCTATCATTGTATAAGTAGTTAACTGTTGAGTAGTCTTAACAACTTCATCGAATTTTAGACAGCCTACATCTTTTTTATCTTCCATTTCAGACAATACATTTTTTGCAATTTATGAAAGTATGTTGTCTACTATGCTTTTTTAAATCATAAATATTGTTCTATAGGTTGTAATGGAGCTTAGGCGAATCCACGAAATACATGCAAGTCAATCCTGCTTCTATTGTTCTTCTTGGTTCATTCAACTGTAGTACAGTGCAATACTATTAACACTAAGCCTAAGGCTTGGAATTTTAACTTTGTTTGTACATATGATTATGACGAATTTCACAAGACTGAAAACATTCCTCGTATAACGCTTTAGGATGTCAGCAAACGTGGTTCAGACATTATGCTGTCTTTGCTTTCGTAGAAGCTTGAAGTCTGTACAGTCGACCGTCCGATCCAAATTTAAATATCCGCCGTTTGATAACAACTAATCATACTGTTTAGAATACCTTTACTTATTATAAAGTTCGTACCAGGGAGGTAATAGATGATGAGAAATGATAGAAAGAGAAACCTTATCACGTTAAAAATATATTCTGAAACATAGATGAGACTCTTAGCATCTTTTTCGAAACCAAAGCTTATCAAGTATTTCTGAGTGTTTTCCCGAAATTCCTGTTTTACGGCGAATGAATAAGGAAAACTTCGAAATTTATGTACAGTAACTCTTTAAGTATAGACAACAGTTTCTTTGAATGTACTGAATTTACCAGGAGTAAATTATTGACAGAAAGTATTAAAACTCACTCCTCATATTTCATTCATACTCTTCCTTTCTATATAAAAACTCAAAGATTAGTTTGGTGAACATCGTTGTTTATTATTTGTCCTTTGGGTTCCTTGTGAAATATAGGGCTTCAGTTGCACGCCTCCATTCCACTCTCTTCTCTGTAGTCTTTTCAACCTGACTCCACGACTGCCCAAAAGCTTTCATTTCTCCCTCAAGCGATCTCCTCCATGTCACCGTCAGCTGGGACGCCCAACTCGCCGTTTCCCATGCAGGTTCCACTCGAGGGCCTGGCCTGGCACGTGATGTCCCCGAACGGTCTTCTCAGTGCATGCCCAATCCATCTCCACTTCTGCATATTTGTTAAGCGGTGGATTGTTGGTTGATTCGTCGCCAGGCCAGAGTAAGTCCCTTGTTGCTTATCATTTCTGGCAATGTACGCGATCTTCAGTGTGAGTATCGAGTGAGCGTAGGCGTAGGCAGCTGTTGATGAATGTCTGTGGTTTTTTGTAAATGCTTTTCATAACGCGCCGAGTCTCCGAACCATCGCATGGAAGCACTGACTTGACATTGGTGCTGAAAGTCTGGATCTTGTTCACGCTTTATGCTGAGTGCAGTGCAGTAGATCTCCACACTGAGTGTTTCAGGTTAGTGAAGGTCTGTTTTGCTTTCCTTCCGACGCTGGCTTTGACGTCGTGATCTGTGCCTTCACCTGTAGTTGAAACGATGGTGCCTGCCTAGGTGGGTGAAACAGACTACTTGCCTCAGGTTTCTCCCTATCATGGGGAATAGTGCTTGTTGTTGTTTGGGTATCTTCATCACCTCTGTCTTGTCTGCATTCACTTCAAGTCCCGTTTTCGCTGCCTCTTCTTTTAGCCTGTTGGTTTTTGTCTGTAGATCTTCGAGTTTGTGCGACAAGACATTTGACATGAGCCATCATCGGCAGCGACATCCAAATCTTCTTCTGGGGTGTTTTCACCGGTTCAGTCAGCGCATGCCCATCTTCTCGTTCCTCATGGTTTGCTTCATGATCCAGTACAGTCGACTACAATCAGGAAGATGATCAGTGATAGTAGGCAGCCTTATTTTACCCCTGTCTTCACTTCCAAAGCGTCGCTGAGCTTTCCATTATGAATCACTTGGCATGTAGCGTTATGTAGCATGTAGCTGTTGAATGAGGTTGATAAAAATTTGTGGTACTTCGTAGTGTTGAAGCAGTTTCGAAATTCTTCTCGGTCGACGCTATTGAAGGCCTTTTCACAATTGATAAAGTTGAGTTAGAGTTGAGTTGACTACCATTCTACGCCCTGTTCTATGATGATGCGTGGCGTAGCGTTGCAATTTGATTCGCACATGGTTTGTTTTTCGTGAAACCAGTCAGCCTGTTCTGATTGTAATTCGAGTCGTGATCAGTTTTTGGTCTCTCCAGGATGATGTGACTTAAAATTTTGGTTGTGGTGGACAGGGAGAGGAGCATGATTCCGCGCCAGTTCTTGCAAAGACTGAGATCATCCTTCTTTGGGAGTTTGACAAGATAACCCTTCTCCCAATTAGTCAGCCAATACCTTCCCTTCTCTCCACATCTTCTGCAGGAGTGGTATGAGCGTGTCTGCTGTTGTCTCTCCGTCAGCTCTCACTGCTTGTTAAGGAATTCCATCTGGTCCTGCTGCTTTCCCGGATTTCAGCAAGTTTATGGCGTTCAGAACTTCGTCTTTTATCGGAGGGCTTGTGTTCACTGGTGGTTCTGTGGCTGGGCTGGTGGTGGTGATATTTCTGGATGAGTTGCAGGTGATGATCGATTGAAGTGGTCAGCCCACTGTTTCTTTTGATTCTCCTCTTTGGTATCTAGGTTTCCCTCACTATCTTTGATTGGTTTCATCTGCGTTGATGTCTCCCCTTCCAGCTAGTATTTTGGTTATTTGATATAGTGTTATCAGGTCTCTCCTACCTGGAGCCTATTCTGCTTCACCTGCCAGTGTGTTGTGGAAGTGCTTTTTGTCTTTGTTTGCACCCTTCTTCACTTCCTTGTCCAGTGTAGTGTTTTATAGGTTGTGTTCAGTTCTTTTTTTCATTGTTCATCCCCGCACTGGACTGCACTGGACTAGTTGATCTTCTGCTTCACCATCCTCCTCGCCCTCCTGTATCAGCTTCCATGTGACGGTCGGGATCCATATCTTGTCTTCTTTCTTCTTCCTTCCTAACGCGGTTATGCAGGTTTACTTCCACATCTCTTTCAAAGAGTTTCATTGTTCTTCCATGCCCGACCCTTCAGGGATGTTTTACTTATAATAGGCTGAGGTAAAGATGTCCTTTTAGTTTCGTCCTTCAGTTCAGTTTCTGGGTGGGCGTTGAACTTGAACTGTGGTCTATCGCGAACTTTTTTGAAGGTTTTTAACTTGATTTTGAATGTAGGTTATTTGTACTAGATAGTGGGTGGTGTGAACCTACATCTGCTCCCCTTCTTAATCTTGTGTATATTAGGCTGCATCTCCAATTTCTTCACGTAGAGATGAAGTCGATCTGATTTTTAGTGTGTCCTGGTGTTTGGTGAAGTCAAATTCATGTCGTTCGCTTTGTGAATATCCTTGTGTTTGTACACACTGCCTCGAACCACCAAGTCACAAAATGCGCAGAAGCCTCCAAACAGTTCTCCATTTTCGTTCATTTCACCGAGTGCTTCTCGACTCATGATGAGTTCTCTTCTTGTGATTTCCGCTCCCAGTTTTACATTCATGTCACCCATTAGAATGAATTTTGATGTCGCCTACTGGAGTGGGGTCTTGTCCATTGCTGATTGCAGTTGTATGTAGAATTCCTCCTTCTTCTCTTCATCTGCATTATTTGTAGGTGAGTAGCGTAGCATTGAATTACTGTGACTTTCCTTCCTATTGAGTTGAACCTTGGTGTCATGATCTTGAATGTTGAGGAGATTGGTTCCCACTGCGTGAGAGAGAGCCTTCGATGCTGTTGGGGGCATCATGATAGCCATTGGAAAACTTAGTGTGCTCGTGGTTGTCATCTGGGTGATAATATTGGAGTAGGTTATTGACTCTCCAGTTGACAGTTGAGAGAGTCCACTTTCATACCATCTGGTCTCACAGATTCCTAGCCTTGCACTTCTACCGCTATACCTTCTCATCTGTCTTGTAATCTGGGCAGCGTTGCTAGGTTCATACATGGTGTGGACATTCTGTGTCCCTATTCTTACTTTCGCTTTCATCGAGAGAGAGAGAAGATACATTATCCGATTAGCTTCTTGAAGGTCTTCGCCGACTGGTGTCATTTCGCCTCTCCGATTCGAGCGCGGAATAAGTTCAGTTTTATGTTTTATATTTTCTTTGTGTTTTGAAGTTTGTTTAGTGATTGTATTGGTTTTCTGGGATAGGATTGCTAGCCGTATGCTAAACCTTCTCTGTTTATCCGAGCTTACGAGTGACTGGTAACTGGTGAAATGGTTAGCTGTGGGAGGTTATTTATAATTTTTTGTGTTATGAAATTTTAAGCTGTAATAAAACTTGTTTACTTTACAGGTTTTGTTTTCATGGCGCGTTAAATTGTGCCACCTTGAACCAATGCACTTCCTTTCCAGGTTCTACTTTATGTTTTTTTTAATCGATGGTTTCATTGATTTTCAGTATCTTCTGGAGTGTGTCACCTAGCAATTAGTTGATTGCTGTTTCTTATCGAGTTTTGTTGATACACTTTCATTAATGGTTGTATTTACTTAGTCTCCACTTGTCTCAGTGAATGTGACTGCAACAGTATCTGAGTAGCCAATGAAGTACAGTCGAGGATTATTGGTTTGATTTGCGGTTGGAAACGTATTATCTAGATTTTTCGGGCAATGTGATTTAACTCGAAGTTATGACATGATAGCGATACTTCCGCCACTCACTTTTTGCTGTGGAATGGATAGCATGTTGTTTTGTTCTTTTTTTCGTTCATGACGTTATTTTCTTGGACCCAACCTCTCTGCAATATTCTGAAACGTAGTTGGCAAGGGTTAGCCGGTTACAAGTTTATTGATTGACGTTTTAAAATTACTTCGGTTAGTAAATTTATGTTAGTGGGTATAACGAAAGTTTTTTTCCCAAAGTAAACTCTCAGCAACTAAGATGAATGTGGGACTTAGTTATCAGTTAGTTTCTTCAGGTCACTTGATAGGGCGTCAGCTCGATGATTTGTCGACCACCGGTTTAAATTATTCCAAGATTCCTTTTTTAGTGTCAATTTTAATCATCACTAGTTTAATGTACTATGGGTTTGTTCGTAGTGGATATTTCTGTAGTTGAGAGTGATACCTGGGTGCATAAATATTTTCACCCTTTGAGGTTTGTAAGTTTAGAATTGAATATGATCATTTAAGTAAGTGAAACCCAAAATGATTGTTCAACCCTATGTTTTTTGGATGCCAAAACGTAGATAAATTTAGCAGGATTCTAGTTGTTGACTCACTCACTAGAATTCGGGTATCTAAACTAATGATTGGGTTGGAAAAATGTTTTTTTTTCGAAAAACCACACATTATGAATGTGTGTCTTCCTGTTCATTTCCCAATTCCCTTTTTATTTGTTCTGTTTTTTTAAAGGCTCATTATTCATGTCATAAAAATATACCACCAGAGTGTGATTTCGGTATATTGCGCAACATTATGCTTCCACCGTATTGTGTATCAGTGCCTCGTACAAGTCTCCTAGTTGAACAGATAATTGGTATGTGCAGACCTCAGCCAGAAACATTAATGGGAGGTAGGTTCAATTAAATTCTTTAACTATTATCTTCCGCATTATTTTTATCAGGATAATTGTATTCTCAGTCAAATATATTTGTGGTGTGTACTGTACTGTTTTTGTAGTACAGTAGTCAAAAATATATTTCGCCTCAAACTGACCAGGTAGTTTGTCAAGCTTGTTTGATTGTGAAGAATACCGTTGTTACTCTTGTGTTAGAGGGAGACAGGTGAATTTTATTTTGAACTGGTGTTACAGTGCTTGGCAGTCAAAAAATTGAACTTGCAAAGAATATATACTACGTTTTTCTTCCTTTTTATCGATGTTTGCTATTTGTTTTAGTGTCATATAAACCCGGTGAAAAATATTTAAGTATTATGCAACAAATGAAAGCTAATTACTGACATAGCCAATATGATATACACAGCGTTTTCGTATTTGATCGGTGTTTAGGTGCTGTAAGTTCAACACTGCTATGTAGATTAGAGACAGAATTTTGAAGGGAGTATATTATTGAAAACCTGTCAAAAGTTTTTGACATAATTTTCTTGTGTGTAGAATTTGTCATACATACGTGTAGAAGATGGGTATATTCTTACAATGGATAATTCAGAAACACGTTTTCAGAGAAATATTTCCAGTAATTTTTTTTCACATTTCACAATAACACTTAGGATTATTAAATGAAATGCAGACGTTTGATAAATTTTGTATACTATATCTACAAATAAAGTATACTAGTTTGAAGGTTGTAGTAGGTATGTTCATCAAATCTCGCTGACAGGATCCAAATGTTCCTTAACTTATCAGTAATAGAATTCGTGCCTGTTGGTCACCCATTTTATGTTTCTCTGGCTAAGCTGTTAGATACAACAGCAAACTTGGCGTCAATATCCTTTAATTAATTTTGTCTCTGTTTTGTGATTGAGAAAGAAACAGCCGTTCACAAGTTGTTTTCATAGCTAATCATTCTCATCTCAGTGTAAATCATCTTAAGGTCTGCAGTAGTCGGGTGACCATATGGTTTATGGTACTGAGCACATCCAGTCTGCGTTTGAAAGTGTCAACAGCAGGTGCAGGTACGACTCATAACGAGACTTCTACTAGTAAACATTTGGTATAAGGAACTGGCTTCCAGATGTAGACAGTTAGATCGTGATCTTTGAATTTTCGAAATCCTCTCAAATGATCAGTTCTAGAGAGGAGGAATAAATGAGATAATTCAGCATGCAAATTAATATTTCATATAAGACATTTAAATATGAGATCAGTTATCCTGTGGTAAGACAAAGGTTGGGATACTGAGTACTTTCGATCGTTTCTCATGAAAGAAAACAAAGTCATTTTGTGAGTTTAGTTCATGTCCTTTAGACCTATTTTATTACAAGTTCTTCATAACCGAAACTTGAGGATGTTTTTGGTTTTATGCATCTATTGATGTCTGATAAACACTGGTTATGACATCTGAAACATATCTTCAGTACTGCTTAAGAAGGATATAAGAAGAGACTAATGAACTTGGAATTGTCTGATGAAATTCGATGATCGAAGCTGTTGTTCATTTATTCCTTAACCTTGCTAGTGACATAGTTCACGTAAAACGTCTCACAAAAGTTCATTGCTATCATCAAATGCACTTTATAATTCATCAGATAAAAAGCATATCAGAATTAAATCAAAATTCTACTGAACAAGAGAGATATTATTTGAAAAAGAACTATAGGTTATATAGTAATAAAATATTTAGGTTTCAGATAAAGATTTTTGGTGAATAAAATAGCAGCGAACAATATTTTGGACTGGTACTGTATCTTTATATATATAAATCCCACTTCTGAAGTTAAATGGTGACTGTTGTAGAAATTTACGTTTACATTGGATGCTTCAATAAATATATTTCCAGTAAATTTAGAAACTCCTATCAGTAGAACAGTGATGAACATGAAAGAATATATCCTCAGAATTTATTCCATGGATATTTAGACTAACGAATAAAATGGTTAAAGGTTTAGTAAAGAAACTAATCATTAAACTAGTTTATTATGTTTGATATTAAAATCAGACGGATTAGAATGAGCCTAGAAATACAAACTGACAATCATCGTCTTGTTCTGTTGTCTGCTTTGTTTATTTCAATGACGTATTCCAGCAATACTAGCTAGAAATATAACACCTTAAGGTTTCATCATGCCAACAAGTTTATTTTGAAAACAATAACGAATCAGTTAGTGACAGTGTCTATAACTGTAATGTAGTGGGGATTTAGCGGCAATTTTATAATACTGACTGCATTCAAATATAATGACAATGAAGTGTTCCACTGAAATGGCCACAATTTCCCCAATTCCGCTTTTAAGCACTAGTAAACAGTTGGTATGTAAGATCAGGCGTCTTTTGTCTTGCCTAAGCAACATTAAACTCTTCAGCATGTTAAGCGACCAACAATATGTGATAACTTCCAAAATATTGCATGTGCTCAACCGTTGGTCCTGTGGTTAAGCTGTCATATGAAAAAGCCTACAGTGATAATGTATTTTCTTCTCCAGGCTACTCAAAAAAAATAAACGTCTCTAGTATAAACAGATAGTAATTGCTAACTTTCTACCGTAGGTGACCTTTTGTTACCAAATGTATACTTGCATCTGATGTCCATTTCAGTTGAGAGTTATATTTCCATTTTCAAGCTTATTGAACCCATAGTGAGGGTTTGAGAGTGATATGGTGGATGATATCCGCTTTCAGTATTCACCAGTGTACTTGCTAACTGTATTTTGGATGAAGCAAAACATTTTTTAGTATACACATTAGTGAGTTATATGTCAGAAATCTGAACAACTTTGTGCATAATCACCTTCATTCGCTTTCATTATTATAAAACTGTTGTATATTTTTGTTGTTTCGTCATTTCTTACGAATTCAATCTTTACTACCACTCGAATTAAGTTTATCATGTGAAAACGCTTTGATGACGTATCTTTTTCAGCCGCTACTACTTAAGAAGGGGGATGCATTTATTTTGTAATTCTCTTACTGCATACTTTTCAGTTCAAGCTCTTACAGATGAGTTTTCAAGTAACGGAGATAGTCCTGAAGAATCTGGTATCGAAAGAAAATCGACGAAAGATAAATCAGACCGAGATTTTGATGGTGAGTTCACACGTCATATTTATTTTATTTATACACTTGAACTACTTAAATGTGGAACAAGTAGTAACAAAAAGCTATAGGATTTTTCGACAAAACCATTTAAAGATATTGATTGTCTGAAACGTGTAATGAATTTGCGCAACACAATTCCAACCATCTGATCACACATGTAGTTGTTATATGTACTTTTCTGAATTTCATGAGGACAAGGGGTGATAAAATGAAAAGAGGTCAAGTAGGAAGGTTGTATCAAAGGCCAAATGACAACGAAAATCAATAGACGGAAGATAATGGTACATCGAACTTGATTTCAAAGTTGAATTCATCATAGGAGATATAATATGTTAACAAATTGTTTTTGAACACAGAAAATTGATTTAAACTTTCTAATAGCTAAGGCTTCAACAAATTCAATAGTCCATCCCCACTGCGTTTTGTAAATAGGTTTTAAGGAAGTAGTCACGTCACCTTTGTGATCTGTCTCAACGATATATTTCACGATCGAAGGACGTAGACGTCTGTTGCCAGTGGTTGTAGGTTCAGGTGGTTCAATTTTGCTCACAAAGCCACTTTTACTTGCATGGATCTATGAGTCCTCTTTAGGGTTTCTGACAAATTGGTCGATCGATAATCGACATTAATTGAGCACTAGCCAAGTGTGCAGAGAAATATCACACGTAATCCTAATAATAAATTAATAGTGAAATAGGTCTTTGGTAAATGTTTTTCTAAGATATATATTTTTATACCATCAAAATGGCTAATATCTGTATTGCTAGCTGGAAATACGAAAAGAAGCTGAAGCGTTGTTTCATATTCATGTTCTGGTAGTATTCAGTGATTTCTTACTGGTGGAGTCGCCTCACAGATCATTTGGATGTGTAAATTACTCTGCTTATCCATATTACCAACAGCATTTAGTATTCTGTATTTAATTTCTGACCACAGTTGTCTTAACTAGCAATCATCCTGTTTCTGGTCGTAGTTATATTAGGTTAGATTAGAATAAAGACACATTAGAAATATGAGAAATCATTATATATTTTCACAGACATCGATTTACTTATAAGAAGTGACCTGGGATGACGAACAAATGAGGTTACAGATGACATGAGTATGTGCTCTGTAGGTGAATTTGTTAATTGAGTGTGATTCACAATTATGAACAAATTAATCCTAGTAAATTATTTCAATCATTTTCTGAGTTACAGGTATTACGATGGGTGAAAGTGACAATTTCCATCTTTATATTTGTTCATGTAGAAGCATTGTTGCACTGCATAGTGTATTAACTCACTTCACGATTTATATCCATTTGTCCTTTTATCTTTACGTTTGAATAAAAGAAAGTAATACTGTTTATTGTTTTTACTCTTTTTCTTCAGATTACGTCCGAGTATATGATGGTTGGAGTCGTTTTCGAAAGAAACAATGTCGATATCTTAGTCTTGGTCGTAGTGTTTCTGTGCTGAAGGTGATTGAACTGTCACTCAAAGCTTTCCAACTACCTCCAGATGAAGCAAGAGACTATTATCTTGTGGAAGTGAATGAAAAAGGTGAAAACAAATTGATAATCCTATGTATTGTTATATTTAAGATATTTAGTTCATGCGAAACAATAACTTAACTACTTGACAATCCATAACCATTGATTTATGAATTCGAAAGGTGTTAGTTTGAATAACTCACTTATATATTTCGTAGCATAGTAGACAACCCTGCAAACAGATTTTTTATTTAAAAATATGATAAATTTTTGCTATAATTGATTCTATTGTTTAATAAGTAAGTTTGAAGCGATACATAGGACGATAAAAGTTTCATTTACATGCAAACATTTCAGAAAATCAATTTCACTGAAAAATGATTTCTCTTCGATGCTTATGAAATAGTCTGTCTGCACCAGTTGCTCGTCTTTACTCAAGTTAACGAAGCATGAAAGTCGAATAATAAGAATTTTTAATGATTTAGTTATCTTTTAAAAAATCTCGGGGCTGAAACTTGCCAAACTGAATGATAGTTTTTAATGAAATTAAAATATTTATTGGAAAATATTTCATTTGGAATATTAAGTAATATTTGAAGATAAAGATAGGAAATGACCTCCTACTTTTGTACACCCGATATTTTTTGGAATGTGATTCAACAATGATGACCTTGAACAGATGGATATGAACATGACTACATGTGTAACGCAGTCTTAGAGTTTTTCAGACTAACCGGATATTTTTCCGACTGAATAAGTGTGATTGGAAAAAGGCGAAATAACTGAGATGAGGTTAGTTAGACACTTTTACATGCTAGAGATAGGAATGGGTTGAGTCAAAAAAACATCTAAGAAAGGATGAGGAGCAAAGTTAGTCAGCTGTTTCTGCTACCAAGACGTTGACTCTTTGTACTAAACTTCGCATTCGTTCATCGGAAACGCCTGCGGGTTCAGAGACAATAGTATATCTTAACAAACAAGTAATCGATTACTGTCATTCAATGAATTCATCTCCTGCTCAGACACAAAGCTGATGATTTCAAAAATTCACCAGACATTTTGTAATGGACTGTAGGATGAAATGGTTTGAATGTGTGTTTAGCGGCAGGAATATCTCCACTTGTTTCTAACAAAGCCAATTTACTGAAGAGAAACCTACAAGCATTTCAGTTATACATTACGGCAGTCTGTCACTGTTCAAAGATGAAATCTTTCTTTGTATTTTAAGCCTCATCATTTAGTGCAAACCTCTTGAAATTAAAACATTACCACATCTAGTTTCTTACAATGGGATGTGTTCAGGATCATCAACCAAAAATTCTAAGGCGTGCTTATTGTTTTGTTTGAGCAAATAAAACTTATATTTTTAGGCAGAACTAAAGTTGTTTCAGTATAAATCAGTCCTATGGAATAGCTAGTCAGCTAACTGTCAGTTATTACGAACGAAACGCACTCAGGCACCTAGTGCACAAGCGTGTAGTATACAGTGAGAAACACCTGTTGTTTGAAGGCTAGTATAGTGTTACTTCGAGACTGGTTACATCTAGGCAGGTGGATCAGGACTCGAACCCGCGACCCAATGATTGAGAATCACCTCCTCAAATTACATAGCCACAAGAAAGCAATGTGTGATTCACCAACCCTTGATTTCAGTGATTATTAAACACCTAGCAAGAGTATTGATTAATAATAAAGACGAATATCTTGCATCACAAAGTAGATGTATCTTTATAGGTTTCACATAAAAACATGGGAGCACTAGGCAGTTGTTTCATCCTAATATGCAGCTTATCAGAGGTCCGAACCCAGGACGACCAGGTCTCACTACGAGTGCATCAGCATTTAGTCACTGGGTTGAGATTCAACACTCCACATTTTCTTACTTGTGTCAGTTCATGTGCATAGAATACTAGTGAATCCCGAATTGCTCCGGAATAACTGTCTCTTATTCTCAGGTTTTCAATGTTTCTCCAACTGACGTGGATCATTTAAGCCTTTTCTAATCCTTTGTCAGTCGGTAGGGTGTAGTACATCATCTTTTTTCTCTAGTCTTTAAAGTTGTTATTCATCGAAGACTGACATCAGTTGGAGGAACAAAGGAAACCTGGGAGCACTGGACAGCTGTTTCGTCCTAGTCTTTAAAATATTTGATGTTTTTGATTTAAAAGTACCTAAAATTAATCATGTAGGCTGGGTTACACTAGTTTGATGAATAATTGTCACGATAGTGAAGACAGTATAAGTGTTGCTAACTGATTAATATCTCATCACACTTATGTCTTATCGGCTGGATTAAACTGTAGATTTGTGAATACTAGTGATCCTGCTGATAATTCAACCTAGTGACTACCATTTTAAACAGTAGGAGGGATGTGCATTAGTATTATTAATGAGGTGTCTTATTTTTTCTCTGCTCCTGAACATATGTCTTTTATGAATCACAGCAACAATAGACATAGGGAAATTCCCACTAACCACTGCATTACGGGTGGGTGGAAATATTAACTATAGGCTACTAGTTTCTGATAAACATTTCCGATACGCTTGCTAGTTATATTATTTAATAATCTTATTTTGATCCCAGTCACTGCATCCTCTATCACAAATCAGTATTGAAATTAAAGTTCTTTCGTAATTTCGCTATTTGCCGCTAGTATCAACCATTTATTTATTATTATTGATTTATTTATGCTACTTTACCGGTCGATTTTGGTTTGCTTTTTGCTCCTACTGTTACTTTGGCTGGTGTTCAAAAAAAATACTAGATGGAAGCGAGCACAGACTGCATAGTTCTGGTTGTTTTAAATCTCAGCTGCAATTTGAAACTCGAAGACCCCAAATTCTGTTACGTTCTCGTGATCGTAATCAAGATCGTGAATATATTCAAACATTTCCTGGAACATTGGAGTAAGTATTATGTGTATTTTGTTGCTAAGTTTGTAATTATATGAATAAATTATTTTTATTTTAAGTGGTGTATTGAGAACAGATTGATTGTATCATGTATTGACGTCACCTAGATCATCACTTGAAGGAGGGGGAACTGAACGGCCGTTCCTGTGTTTTTTGCAACTTCTCCAAAGTTTGCACTGTTTAGCCCAAGGTTTATACCTAGCCGTAAGGTCGGATAGTCATCGAAATGGCGGTGTCTACAGACATGGTTGTGAATCACAAGGTAGTTCCTAATCAAGCTTCCACAGTTTTGCACTTCTGTGTAATCCTCAACACTACTGTAAATGATATCAGTCCTTGGTTAAGACTAATTTAGGCAAGTTCTGCTTACATTTCTACTGTGTATGAGCTGGATCAGAGTTTCACCCAGTTCATTATTCCTCTTATAGGGATTTCATTCAAATGTACTAAACTCTTAAATGGTACATATATTTTCTGGAAGTGGTACACTTTTCAGAAACTTACCTCAATGTTGTACCAGTTTTACATCGGTTGATAAATTTTAGTGGATGTTCACTTTGCACCAATGCATCCATCAACAGTCTGGTTTCCACTCTATTTGTATCATCTTTAAAAATGCGATCACTTATTCACTAAATCTACCCTAGTAGCATTGATATAAATCCTTTACTATCGGTAGTGTGGATTTGTCCTTTTTGTGTTTACTCTGCTTTCATGATCCTTCTTACTTGTAATTTCTTTAGTTTAATAGAACTTTTCTGAATTTTCATACAAATCATTTGATAAGTTCATATATCATCAGATTATTCGATATGTATAGTGCCAATTCATCACACGTTAAAGATAATCTTTATCTTCTCATTATGTTGTTCAAAGTATAGTTTAAGTCGCATATTTGAATTATCTATTCTGCTTCACTAGATTTAAAAACCATATTTGGTTAAATTATTATTTTCCAGCCAATTTACAGATGTTGAGCTATTACCTGTACAAATCTCAGTGACACGTGACACGACGGTTCATGATGTTATTGTTCAAGCCTTAAAGAGATTTGGACTTGAGGCAAGTTAATTATTTGACTAAACTAATCATTTAATATAAATTGTTTAGGTTACTTTTTGTTACAGGTATTAGAAATTGTTTATTATACATTTCCTTTACTTTTTCCAGCTCTATCTGTCAGCTAAATATAAAACAAATTATTCATGACTTGATGTTGTGATAATATGTGTTGTTCTTCAAGAAAAATTTAACACTACACAGATTCCTTTCTCCGGCTTTACTTAATCTGAAGAAAGATATGATAGGAAAAGATATTATTCCATGAAATCTAATCAAAGGTCACGTTGATTTCTGTTACAAAACTTTAATTAAATTCACCAATTGTAAGCATTGCCTACTATTAAATTAGTCATTAGTTAAACAGTTTGAACATTGTACGATAAATATTCCTAATAGAAATCATTTACATTAATCAAATATTGTTTGTTAATTGAATCAGAGGTATGCTAAACACCAGATCTTTATGAATTACTTTTGACAATACTTATGATATCAGGCTGAATAAAAATTTGTGGTGAAAGAAGCTGACGTGGAATTTAGCACTTCGTAAAGTTTTGGCAAAATCTCTAATTTTATCACTAAGTAACTCAGTTTCAAATTACCAACTCAACAAGATCTTCGTATTTGTTGTGTATGCACTTTGTTGATAGTTTCTAAGGCGTCCAGGACCTAGGTGATACAGGTGCTAACAGGTGACAAAAATATTTGTCTTCATAAAAGGTTGCCGTTATTCGAGTGAAAACAGTCTTATTTAAAAATCAAGTGATCTTATAAACATAGGAAAAGAAAAGTTTTTTTACTACGAGATTTAAACCAGAGATCTCAACTTACCCTCCTATTTTCGTACGGCTCAATAGCTAGCAATCTAAACTATTTAATCATATTTCTCTCAGTCAGGACTATCTCATACAATCTTATCAAGTGAGTTACTAAGTTGTACTTCAATCTGTATTTCGATACTGAAATCACCTAGTTAGTATTTCTTTCATAGGAAGTTTCTCTCGAAATTTTCTTACTATATTGGTTATTGGAATTTTAACTCATCTAGAGTTTATTGTTAAGTGTAACAGTTTTATTTTACCATATGATTGTTTCTGCAACTTTATTTGTCTATCTTTAAAATCACAGCATTTAGATCCAGGTAGATTTCAACTTGTGGAAACCAATTTAGATCGAGGATTAATTGAAAGAGTTATGTCACCGGGTGAACGCCTTTGGACAATATTAGAACGTGTTAAACGTGAATCCGTCCGTGCATTACGCTTAACTCGATTTTATTTACAACCAATTGAAGAAACGAAAGGTCCTGTTGTTACCTTATTTGTTGGAAATTTGAAGAAAGGTTTAAGTCAACGCCTTTATGAACGCATATTACTTGAACGGCTTGGTGTAGAGAATAAATGGGATTTTATTGGTGAGCTGTCGATCACTAACTCATCATTTTTATTGCCTTTCAGACTGATATGAGGCTGAAATGGTTACCCTTTTAAAAGTAGTTTTTAAAAAATGAATTATATTTGTTAAATCCCAATGTTTCTTGTGTTGGTATTCATCATGGACTGACATCATTTGGAGGAACATTGGAAACCTGAAAGCACTGGATAACTGTTTCGTCCTAGCGTGGGACTCCTCAGCAATGCGAACCCATGACCCCATCATGGATCAGGTTAATGGTCACGATATGTCGTGAACTGACAGAAGTTAGATATATGGACCATCGGATTCCAACCTATTGGCTCAATGGTAACGTGCTGACCATGGAATCTGGATGTTCTAGGTCCGATCCTTATTGAGGCGGAGTCATGGATGCGCACTGTTGAGGAGTCCCACACTGGGACGAAACAGCTGTCCAGTGTTCCCGGGTTTCCAGTATTCCTCCAACTAATGTCAGTCCATGATGAATACCAGCATGAAGAACCACCAAACATCCACAAACTTCCTAGCTCAAATCCCATTCTTTAGAAAAATAAATTTTTTCTTCTTGGAAGAAGCGATTTCCATGAAGTCGTGAAATGTCAGAAATTTATTTTTCTGTCTCACTGCAATTTTTCAAATATATTTCATTTATGATCTATTTATCTTCTGCTCAACTTATGTAACTCTACCAGTAGCTTTTTGTTCAAATAATACAATGCTGAAAAGCGTTTTCGCTTCAAGTTTTGTTATTGAACTACTTAGTTTGTTGTAATTCAGTCGTTAAGTTTTGAATTAAAATCTCAAACTTTATTGCATATAGACAATGACGAAGAGTCAAAATCAACGTAGAACCTCTCATATAAATGCATGGGTTCAAGTTGCCACACCTCACCGTAGGGAACAAAGAACTGGTAGACAGAAAAAGACCAACATCAAAGTAGACAAAGTTGTGTGAGAGAATAAACAGTCTAAAGACAACGGTTCCTCCAAATATTTAAGATTCAGAAGGCGTCGGAGAGTGAATACATCTGCACCATTGTGACCGATTTTCAATTATTTCACTAAAAGTTATCAACCACTGGCATCTGTTATCTCAAGCACCCCAGCCAGGTAGTCTTTGTCTCCCAACACAGCTCGGATCAAGTCAGAGACTTCATGGCCTCATACCATGTCTTGGTCTGGCCAACCTGAACCTTCTTCCAACCTATTTCAACTTCCCTCAGCATTGCACGTCGAGGTAGGCAATGGCTCAGGATGCTCGGTACATATCCAAGCTATCTCAGTCGTTTAAGATTCAAAACCTCATGAATCGACCCACTTGTCTTGCTTAGTATCCTTCGCCCGACCTCCTCATATCGCATATGGCGATTCTTTATTGAGTAAAACATGTTGGATTATAGGCTTCTAACCAATTTTTTCTTCTAAGAAAAAGAAAAGTTCTATTCAATCGGCAATATATATCGAGATAAAGAAACGGAAATTTTAACCAAGAAGATTCTTTTTAAGATGATTTTATCTTCAAAGTTGTGTATTTGTATTCAAGATAGATAATAACAGATTTCTTCGTCTATGTTCATTCCATTCTGTCTTTTTTTGATGTGAATCTGAGTTATTTCAATTAAATAAGCATCAAATTAAATCGACTGTTTTACCGAATGATAAGCCGTTGTATATATTCCACAATGATTATGAAGTTCATTGAGATATTGGTTTTCACATTCTTACTAATTCTATTGCAGAATTATATAAATTATTTTCTGAAATTGAAATAACTGTTAAATGTTATGTGATGAACTGTAGTACTGAAACATCACTTGCATGGAATGGTTAAATAGAAAAATAGCCTGGTAGATTTGTTCATATACGTTGACTGAATTACTTGAGATCCATGATGTAAAATCTAGCTACTTGTCTTTTTAAAAACTTCTAGTATCAGCTAGAGAAAATATGGAAGAATTTTTAAGGTGACTAGATCAGAAAAATAACCAGAGTTTAAAGCTAACGATTTATAGTTTGGTAAGCGTCGTTTTTACGTTTTGAATGCTGGTAGTACTGCACATCAGCAGATACAGACTATATGTGATATACGCCTCAAGGTTATTATCATTAGCTTAGATAAACACACTCGTTTACAGCCTGTTGATTTTTTTTATGACTTCGTTGTTTAGATGTGTGTTAACTTGATGCACTGCTATATGATATAGCAGTTATAGGCTTGCTGCAATTTTTCATATGATTAGAAGTTGTCTGAGGATTGCTACACTTTTTGATTGTGACTGATTACTTCTCGCATTCAACTAGTAAATATGAAAGCGTTAAAGCGACTACAAATTCATTTAATCTACTCTGATCCAGTCACTTAGTGTTATAAGCAGTCATTTTTTCTTATTAGAAACATTTCGGTGTGTAGATATGAGATATAGCAATCTGAACCATGGGTTTTGAAGTTGCGGGAAATTTTGCATTGTGTTTTCGTTTATCTGTAAGTAGATCACAGTGATCTTAGTAAATTTACTGTTTTGATGGTTGTTGTATTGATTCACCTCGTTGACTATTTTGTTCTTATTCGCGACTAATCACCTGATACGAACAATATGCTACACTTGTACGGTTATACTACAACGAACCTTTAGACTCCATATTACTGGATCCCAGCTTCTAGTCAGCAAGAAGAGACACTGAAGGAATAGTTTGAATGAACTGATCCTGCCGCTAGACCGAAAAAGTGTTGGGTAGAATGTCATACATACATATATAATTCTGTTGTGACCTTGCAGATCAGTTGTTTAGCTTGCGATTTACGGAGATTGAACTTCAAGTTCGATGAAATTCCATAGATATTTGAAATTTCTAAAAAGTCATGATTACAAATATCAAGTCTTCCAGCCTATCTGGGTCAAATTTTGTGAAGTATACATATATTGGAACACTCCGAAAAGAATAAGTGACTAGATATGTTCCTTTTACATTTTTCTTGATTATAGAGGTTATATACTATGATTTTGGAAGTTTGGTTTTGGTTTATCTGAATGCAGAACGTGCAGATGAAGCTTATCATATATTGAAACAAAGTACGTTTGAAGATCGACCTATTCTAGCTATGATACTGCCTCGTTTAAAGCCGGCTAAATTGCCAGATGATATAAAACCGTTATTAGTATTAGTCAATGTGAAATCAGGTGGATGCCAAGTAAGTTTGACATAATTTATTCACGATTACAACGTTTGTTACGAGGTTATGGTCGATTACGTTTTTGGTTTTGTGTTCATCATATGGGATGATTGTGTTAGACATTTGAAAAACTTACTCTACTCTGGTTTCCGTCTTTGTTGATGATCATCTACCAAGTGTGTCTGCAACCTAATGTTCATGTGGAAAGTTGAACCTGCGTTGGTTAATACTGAAGTCAGCAGCTTTATCAACATTCACAGTAATTATGAGAATAATATAAAGCTCGAGACCCTAGACTGTTAATTAATGTTGACACTGTGCAGTTAATTATTTGACATCTGATGTCGTCAAAATACTTTCCATCCACAGTTTTGCCTCCAAATACTAACTACTATTGCAGAATCAACTACAGAAGTAAAAAAAAGATAACCGGATAAATGAAGTAAATTGGCATAGAACAAAAACGTATATTGGAGACAAATCTTTATCACTTTCATTGCTTGAAAACCGCACCACTTAATATTTCCAACTAGCGATATTGTCTAATGCTTGGACCTCAACTGATAACGGATCATGAACGTATTCAATTTCCTGTTAAAATTCACGAATATATTGTAAAATTGCATATGTCTGTTTTAATCAGGTTCACTAGGTACCTAAATAGTTTAATCCAAATGTATCAGTCATTTTAACCGATTTGACATGTAGAAATTGTGACGAATATTTACAGATCAAGGTATGGATGTTAAGAGTAAGTTGTTTTACATTACAAAAATACTGTCAAAGATAAAAGTAAATTGATAAGAGGATGCTAAAGAGAAAGATAATACATTTAGGACTTGCAGTCTGTACTGCTCACAATCCTTCACGTCATACTACCGTCTGGTTGTTTTGTATAGAATAATGTTTCCAACAGGCCATTGGATGCCAATCTATTGTACTGTAATTCGTTTATAGAGAGGAAACACCTTTTGAGATAATGCTTGCAATAGCTTTTCTATTCTGATTTCATTGTATCTCTTCGAAAACTCTTAAAAAAATGATACATCACTGTGATAAAACACATTACAGGTCTATATAAGTAGTTGTAGACTGTTATTATTATTCAGCACTTCTGATTTTTGTCTCGCACCTGAATGCGTGGTTCCCGTTCAGTGCTGAAAATTCTGATTGATTCATTGTTTCAAGAGTTGTGTGTAATGCCATACTGAAGTATCTTATACTGTTTGCTTTACGATGGCCTCACCGTTTTAATTTATAGTCTTGCCTAAAATGATAAACGCTGATGTACTTATTAGGCTTATTCAGCATACAGAAAGATCTTGTCAAAAGATGCTTTCTGTTATTTACTTCAGAGAACCTCTCTTAGTATACTATACTGTTGTAAGAATCGATGGCCTTAGCAAAACAAGATGGTAGATTTATAGCTGGTTGTAACGTTTTTGTACTTTGGTACTCTGGACCCATATATGGCTTCCGGTTACTTTTTATTTGTTAGAATGAACATTCTTTAGATGTGAAGATTCACTTTTTCTTTTTTTAAGGGTTCTGACTTAATCACATCTTTTCGAAAACTGTTAAATCCTCATCAAGTCTTTAATTTGGATTATGGTGGTCCACTACCAGGCCTACATTGTTTTCGTCATTTAAAACAATTTAAAATACTTGTGTGTGGTGGAGATGGTACAGTTGGATGGGCTTTGTCGTGTCTGGATAATGTTGGCCAAGATGCAGCGTGTCCTACACCTCCAATGGCTATTTTACCATTAGGTACTGGAAATGATTTGGCTCGTGTTTTACGTTGGGGTTCTGGCTATACAGGAGGCGAAGAGCCCTTGTCAATACTAAAGTATGTTAGAAATTTTTGAGTAGTTCAAGTTTTTATTTTGTAGTAGTATGAATATTTAGTTTCTGTTTATTGTTTTGGCTTCTCAAACGTAAGGCCGAATCTAACTTAATTGAGCCAGAAGTACATAAATATTTTTTGGAGAGGAACTGTTTTCATGCCTAGTCAAAGGTACCGACCAAATTACTTAGATCATTTGTGCACTATGCTCAAAAGCCAGGAGATTGATCGTTGCGCAGCAATCTTACTAATGTTAAGTGGTTGCAGGCAGTCGGTTATGTCGAACCACCTAGTAGACCAAATAATGCTTCAACGAGCGACAAACATTTATGTGTTACGCAACAAGTTACTCGTAAGTAGTGTAAGTAACAATACATAAATAAGATGCAAACATAAAGCCATTGTTTGCACTCATTAATTTCGATGAAAAAATAGGAAGAGCTTATCTGTCTGGATCATGTAACGTACTTGCACAACATATTTTGAACACTCTGATTATGCATATGCTCGCCTTAGAGACTTATTTGAAAGATCGTAAAGGTTTCAGGAAGTGAGAAAATCAAGAAAAGTCAAATGATCAGGCAAAATAGGTCAGAACAACATTGAAGATCAGTAGAGCAGAGATAATAGTTCATTAACCTTGGTTTCAAAGCAGAATTTACCAGGAAATGTTTGCTGTTAATATATTGATTATTAGTAGGTGGTTCAAGTAGCTGTATAGTTCTTAATGTCCCACATTAACCTGACTCTGTCGACCAAGTTTACAATGCGGCCACTAAGCTTAGTGATGTGACACTGCGGTCCACTGTACTTTCGGTGTTAATCGTTGGACTTATCAACAGTCAACTCCTAACATCTGTCAGCAAGTTTCAGTGTGAAGACAGTTTATCAATATACACAAGAAGATAGTCAAAAAGTTCCAGTTGGTAAACTCGGAGAAATTCAATGATACACCCATAACATGCTCTGTAAATGAGTTTAAAATATGTACAAACATTCAGTTAATGACCTGTATGGATAATGTGTTTCGCAACCGAACATGCTGGACGTTGATGCTGCATTGATAGGGTCAGATGATTCAACTTGTCTTTTTAAGCCACTTGGTGATATGTTCTAATGCACATACGTGTAAGGACTGATGAGTTCTTATTTATATACAATCATCCGTATATTTAAGTTGATAAATACCGTGGGTAATGAAATTATAAAAAATCTGTCCTTAGGACTAAGAGGTATGCATAGGCTTAATTTATTCAATTATTATGACTTTGACTGCGCGGTATATCTTTCTGTTGGCAGTATTAAATCTCTAAGTAATGTACCATGACGGTTACCCTTGGAAGTAAAGTCTAGCGAATACTGGTTTCTGTCGCACAGCGTGCAATTTGGTTTCCGTAATGGATTCAAATCGGTTCATAGATTTTAATGAATAAGTGTTTACAAGCTACATTCTTGTCTAAAACGGTTCTTCCAAGGTATATGCTGGGCATATTCATTTTATCCTGTTGAATTGGCACCTATTTGAATGCAGTTGCTTGCCGTCTGTTAAGTAGGAGTTCTTAAATGAGTCATATAATAGTTTGTATGCATATATTTCGTAGATTCCCTTCAGATGCTTTGCAATTCATCAAAAAATTGTTTATGATCAAAAGCAAAATGTAAAAGGAACTTTCATAAATTTGTCAGAGATATGCTGGAAGATAAGCAACACGGATGTAGGCTTCTGAAAATTGATGAAATAAGATGAAGTAGTCAGAACTGCTCAAACCCAAGCTGTTTGCAGTATTGTGAAATGAATATTCTTCGATAGAAAGCGGAAGTTTAGGGGAGGTTGGTAGCAATGACATCTTCGAGTTCGTATAGAAATAACATCATAGCTTACGTCAGAGTAATGATAGGTTAGCCGGTTCTCATTAGATTGAGTTAAACAGTATCTTCAGTAATCAGAATTTGTTGTAATAGGATTTCATGTCACTGCTTTTTTCGTTTTTCTTCCCTCTCGAATTCAAAAAACGCTCTTATTTTTTGAGTTTTTCTTCATTGAGAAAAATATCTCAGTTTTATTGCGCTTAAGTAGTTGATGAGGTTAGTTTTCAATCATTTTGAAAATACCAGTGCTAACAACCTCCTAAACTTCCGCTATCTATCGAAGAATATTCATTTCACAATACTGCAAATAGTTAGGCTTTGAGTAGTTCTGACTACTTCATCCTATTTCATCAATTTTCAGAAGCCTACATCTGTGTTGCTTATCTTCTAGCATATCGTTGACAAATTTATGAAAGTGCATTTCATATTTTGCTTTTAATCATAAACATAATTTTTTTTGATGGATCATAAAGCAGCTGAAGAGAATCTGTGAAATATGTACATTTTAATTTTTCTTTACCATTTTTGCCTTCTTTTTATCTGAATTTACGACATGGAAAAATTGTATGAAATTTATTGATAATGTCATTCGTGGTTTCCATCGTAAACTTGATTTTGTTTCTGTGGAAGAGGTACTAGAATCCAGTTACGGTTTGATTTTAGAAGTCGATAGACAACACGTGCTGAGACGAGGTTTCATATTTGTTGAAACCCATCCATTGTTAATATTATGCAAATCTTAAGAAATCTTGTTTCCCATCAGAAATCTAAACGCACATTACTTATTCTTGAAACCAAAAATTTTACTACTTTACTTCCTAAACCTCAGCTGATCTACTGTACAACTAGACTGCTCATTTGGTAACTTATATGGCTTTCAAATTCAAAATGCTCAACGGCATGTAGTGTTATTTGGTCACTTTTGAAATATGACTATGCTAAGCAATACGACATTGGGTTGTACTTTATTTTATTATAAGGTGCGTAATGTCATTACGTAGACTTGAATTCCTGCATTTTATGCTTGAGAATACACTTTGCTAAGGTTTAGTATGAAATGAAACATTTAACTGTCAATTATATTCTTTTAGGCTTTTTAAGTATATGCTTTAGCTGTGAGTAGATATGTAGGTAATACTAGGCATTATACCTCATATTATAGCCATTGCCACCAAAGTTTTTGGATAAGACTCACTTTTTCAAGAAGACCGTGCATATGTAGTCTTTTGTTGACCTATTGTTCACAAAATGGTTTTTGAGTTTCCAGGTTTCTAGCAAATCCTCTTTTGATGACCAACAGTTGTCGTATACTAACAAAATTTCAATAATGCTTTAATCTTTGTTGACTAGTGATGAAAGTTTCTGTTTAAAAATCTCTTCTCTTTTCCTGTCATAAGTGATTTGATTAAGTAGATGGGTTTCGATTTTACTTCTTACAGTTTTATATCTATGGCTTTTGATATTATAAGCGAGTGCTCTGCATAATTTTCCTTTTTTGTGCAAATACATCTAGATGTCTAATTTTGGCTTTTTATTCAACACAAAAATATTTTCCTTCGTATATTATCTTCTCTGTAAAATATCTGTCTCCTTTTTGCCGTTGAAATTTAAGTCTGATATTGTGATACTTGAAAAAATACGTTACATTTGCTGAATCGATATTTTCAATTTAATTATATGAAGAAATTCAGTTAATTACATGATTCTCTTAGCATGCATATTTGTAAATATTTTGTGATTATAAAATCATGTTATACTGTTTTATAACCAATAATCATAGTTGAATCTCCTGTCAGAAGTTGATTTTCAGTTTTCATGCAGATGGTGTTTTGATTGAAAGTGTTTTTTTTCAACATACGTAAGGTGTATAAGTCGACTTAGACAAAAGATTCCGGTATATAATCTCAACAGAGAAATAGTGTCAGCCTTATATTAAATGTAGAAATCCCTATGAATTGTTATAAGAGTATATAGTGCATTGAACAGAATCATTCTCCTGTCCAACCCAAGCAAAATATTAAGCCGTATCATCCTGGAGAGGCTTAAGGATGCACTGGATTCAAAACTACGACCGGAACAGGCAGGCTTCAAGAAGTACAAATCATGTGCAGACCAAATTGCAACGCTACACTACTCACCATCATAGAACAGAGCATAGAATGGCAATCAGCTCTCTACCTCAACTTCATCGACTTTGAGAAGGCCTTTGACAGCGTCGATCGAGTGGTAATTTGGAAACTGCTTCATTACTACGGAGTACCGCAAACCTTTATCAGCCTCATTCAACAACTATATGAAGATGCTACATGCCAAGTAATCCACAATGGGAAGCTCAGTGATGCCTTTCAAGTGAAGACAGGAGTGAAACAAGTTTGCCTACTATCCTCCATGATATTGCTGATTGTGGTGGACTGGACTGGATCATGCAGCAAACAGTGGGGAGCTGTGAGAAGAGGGGGATACAGTGGCTGGACTGTGGAAAAGAACCTAGAAGACTTGGATTTCGCCGATGACTTGTGCCTGATGTCACACAAACCTGAAGATCTACAGGTGAAAACTAACAAGTTGACAGAAGAGGCGGGACAGCGAAGACAGGACTTCAAGTGAATATAGAGAAGACGGAGGTGATGAAGATACCGCACCAGCAACTCCAATAACAACAACAAACTCCAGTCACCATCAACGGGAGAAACTTAAAAGAAGTAACCTCCTTCACCTATCTAGGTAGCACTGTTTCAACTACAGGTGGGACAGACGAGGATGTTAAAGCCAGCCAGGATCGGAAAAGCAAGACAGGCGTTCATTAGCCTGAAACCAGTGTGGAGATCTTCTGCACTCAGCATGTGGAACAGGATTTGGATTTTCAACACCAACGTCAAGTCAGTGCTTCTGTGTAGTGGATGAGAGACTTGGCGCGTTACGAAAGGGATTTCCAATAAACTACAGACATTCATCAACAACTGCCTACGCTCGCTACTGAAGATCAGATGGATTGCCAGAAAGAATAAGCAACAAGGAGCTCTGGCTGGCAACGAACCAACCAAGAACCTATCACCCAACAAATATGCAGGAGGAAGTGGAGATGGATTGGGCATGCAATGAGAAAGCCGACTGGGGACATCAGGCGTCAGGCCAGTTGCTCGAGTGGAATCCCCATGGGAAGCGACGAGTTGGACGTCCCAGTTGAGGGTGACATGGAGGAGATCGTGCGAGGAAAAAATGAGGGCTTCTGGGCTGTCGTGAAGCCAGGTTCAAAAGATCTCAGAGAACAGAGGTCACTGGAGACGTGCTACTGAAGCTCTATGTTCCACTGGGAACCCAAGGGACTAATAATAATAAATAGAAATAGTGCATTGAAACATGAAATCCATCAAAAGTGTATCGTTTTTGGTTGACTTAAAGCCTAGATTAATGCCTGCAGCAGCTGGATCCACTGATGTTACCAGTTAAAATGAGTTTTAGTGGTACTGTTGTTTCCAAGATATATATATTCTTAAACTGATTTCGATGTCGAGACGCTTTAAAGTTGCTATAAAGGTCGATTGAAGTATTGTAAGCGAAAAGAAATATCTATGAGATGGATATGTAAAGATGAAACATGCAAGTGTTGTAGTATCTTGTTTTTTTTCATTGCTTTTTTGGCATATAAGAGAGCAGTTTCCAGTTAGAAAATCTCACGGTTGCCAGACCTGGTACCAGTCGATGAAGTCCCTGACTATTGGTTTGAGCCATGTAGGGGATGTGGAATACCTGGTTGGGGTCCCCGTGACGAAAGGATATAGTGGTTGAGGACACTCGGTAACATGGCTGAAAATTGGTCACAATGGTGCAGATATATTCACTGCTTTATATCTAAAGCCTGAATATTCTTACTAACCTTTATTTTCAGATTATTTATTCTCTCATACAACTTTGTCTACTTTGATATCACTCCTTTTCTATCAACCTGTTCTTTGTGTACTTCTATAAGATGTGGCAGCTTGAGCCGATGCACTTGTGTGCGAGGTTCTATGTTGATCTTGTTAGTCAGTCATTCAAAGCATCTTCGGGTGTTCCCTGACACAAGACTAGTGATTGTAATCTTCTAATTTCTAAAGTAATTGAAGTTAGAAAAAAGGACATAAAAGTGTGCTCCTCCTTAGAAGGGTAAACCTGTTAAAAAATATGAACAGCTTCCGATTTATGCCGAATAGATTTGATTTCTCTTATTTTTATTCAATATATAAGTGAAAAGTTGGATGATGTTCTGATTAGTTGAAAGTAACTATGGTAGATAAATTAATTGTTACAACAGTCCTTCCACTCTGGCGCTAACATACACGTTATTCATGCTGGGTAATGAATAAAAGTGAAATGAGAACCTGTGTAAGCAGCTGGATCTTGTAGCTCAGACGGCAGAACGCCTGGCTAGTAACCCACAGATGACTGATTTAAATCCTGTCGGGACCCAAGCTTTCATTTCACCCTCAAGCATCACCGAATAGCAATAACATCAGTCTGATAGACCATGGCTATTCCAAACAGTCTCATTTACTAATATATACATGTGCTTATAAACCATTAAAATATTTCCTATTTTGCCAACTTCTGATAACTTTCTTCTTATGCTATTGATCATTTTTTTCTTCTAGAGATGTAGTAGAAGCTGAAAATATCCGGTTAGATCGTTGGACTGTAGTCATTAAACCAGATCAGGCTGAAAAGGATGCGCAAAAGAAACAATTACAAATTGAAGCAAATTCATCTAATACAAACGAAGATTCTAGTCGCATATTTGTAATGAATAATTATTTTGGTTTAGGTATAGACGCTGATTTAAACTTAGATTTTCATATGGCACGTGAAGAAAATCCAGCAAAATTTAATAGCAGGTAAAAATTGTTGTATTATCTTTTTAGTCAATTTTGATATATTTTTGAGCTTATATTCTTGATACTTGCACTGAAAATGCATTTGATGCTGGTTTATGCATGTTACTTGCCCCTTCAGATGACAGGACTGTCTTCTCTTTATCTAATAAATTTAAAGTTGTAGAAGCACCTGTACAGTCAGACAGCGAACATCTATCGAAAAATTGAATAAAAAAGGAGAGAGTTGGCATCAATATTAAATACCAGTCAGAGTAGATATCTCACTGTGTAACCCACTGTTGGTTTAAACATGATGGCAGCTTTTGCAGAATAAAGCCTTTAGCAGTGTGACTTATCTCACGGAAACATCTTTCATTAAGAGGGATTACCGTAAGATCCCTTGGTTGATGTGTTGGAATACCACTTTCACGTGAGTAAATATGCCTGACGTGGATAGATGTGGGCTTGATTATCTTCCAAAATTTGATGCGCAGGGTTAAGAGCAATTAGATACTCTCGAGTCAGTTTTGAAATTCAGTTGATTTTCCCAGGTTCGCTTCTCCTCCACTTTAGCTAAGTGAAGGATAATTGTAGAGCCTAGAATCTTACACACCATGTAAGTCTGTCTGGGTGGTATGCAGTTATCACAAGAAGAGTTTCGTCATTAGTTGAAGACTCGGAAAATCAGTGATTGGTATTAGCCAGAGCTGATTATGTCTAACCCTTCGACATGAGGTAGTAGTATAGTCATTGTAGTCGAACATGTGAAGCCATTGTCTTCAAATTCATATGGCACTAGTCCATCAGGATCTACTTCCTTTTCTTATTTCAGGTTCTTTGAAACCTCCTGAACCTCAGCATCATTTGAAGTATCTATCTCAATGTTCTGAGTAGCTGAGTAGCTGAGTATTCAGCAACCGAAGAGTAGCTGAAGGCCAGCTGAACTGTTTATTGAAGTGTTCCACTCATCATTCCAGTTGTCTCCCTTGCAACTGAATCATGGACCCACCTTACCTTGCTTTAGTCTCACCAACCTCTAACGTTTTCATCCCACCTTACCTGGTAATTTAAAACTGCTGTTTATTATTGAGTATCGCTCGCATGTCTACCCTTCTCTAGCCTTTACTGCTCACCGCTGTTCACGTAATAGTGTGAACTGTCTGTCAGCCTACATTTAAGGTGTTTCTGCTTCTAGCACTATGAGTTCTTAATCATTGATTTTATTAGCTGCTTAATGACTGGTTCACTTATGTGTATATAAATGTATCCGGAATACTATAACTACCATGTCAACTAACTGTAGTGAATATGTAACGAGCATCATACGGATTTTAGTATAAACTAAAGACCAATACCATTAACATCCAAAGACAGACAGCAGTTTTAGGACTGTGTGTGATAATGATGAAATATAACCATTTGGGATTAGAAGAGCTGACTGAACAGCAAGTATGAATACAACAAACGAACAGTTAGACATCACGAATTAACATGGTAGACAGGCGATAACCTTGATAAATATAGTCAAATTAGGATATGGTGAGTAGCTTGGTGTCATAGCACAGTTAATAGAGCACCGAGCTTGTAACCCGATAGCCGCTAGTTTGAATGATGCTAGGAACCAGATTTTCATTTCCCCAGTCAATCAAAACCCAGTATCCTCAAAACGAGTCTGACAAACCATGGCTACCTCTTACAGTCACATTGACTACATATTTCTGAGATAATATTGATTCTATTCTCGTAAAATTATGAATACTTCACTTTTTAGCTCTGAAATTCTACTACTTTTCCTTATTACTTAACATATTCATTAACACTCTACAGTTTTGCATAAAATTTGGTGTGTTTTGTACCATTTCGTAAGAATGAGATTCTATATTGATTAGTTAAAGACATATTATTCTATTTTTTGTGTAGAAGACTGTTAAGATGAATATGCTAGAATTATAGCAAATGATAAATTTTTAATGACGATTCTTATCTTTACATCTAATTACTTGAATATTTTTGTTGTTGTTTCAACTACATGTAAATAGTAAGTATTTTCTTCAGGAAAACAGAATATCGTTTGTTTTTATTGTGAATAAAAACATACGTGTAAATTGAGATATGATATGCAATAGAAAGAGGAAAAGGAGGCAACTTTAAATTCAAGCTTTTCTTTTATTCTCAGATAGATATTAAACAAGTATACGCGTGTAGTATTGAGGAACCACTGATTGTTCTGCATACTTTCAACATGCTTACTTTTATACCCATACTAGAGTAAATGAGTACAACACTTTAGGGTTGTTAAATTGAATATATTTACTTGTATTATTTTTTTATGGTTAAACGTGTACGTCAATGCATTAGATTACTTCAATTTCTGTTATACAAATGAAATTCTAGTGGTTTATTAAAAACACTTTTGGTTTCCTTTTTGTAACTAGAATTCATAATAAAAGTGTTTATTTAAAAATGGGATTACGTAAAATGGTTAATCGTACAAAATGCAAAGATTTACATCAAAATATTATCGTTGAAGTTGATGGACGTCAGTTAGACTTACCACCGTTAGAAGGTGTTATCATATTGAATATTCTTTCTTGGGGTGCTGGTGCAAATCCATGGGGTGTAGAAAAAGATGAGGCATTTACAACACCTACACACTTCGATGGACAACTTGAAGTTGTTGGTGTCACAGGAGTTGTACATATGGGTCAGATATTTTCTGGTTTAAGAACTGGCATTCGTTTAGCACAAGGTGGTCATGTAAGCGAGTTTATTTTCTTACTTTCACAGGTTTTTTCACCCAGTAGTATTGATTTTACATTCATGTAACGCTTCTGTTTGTTTTTTACTTCATACTATATTAAGGTATAATAAGCAGGGTTGCTTTATAGATATTTATTTGTATACTTCAAGCATAATCGTAGTATAGCATTGGTTTCACTCAATCCACTACGATGAATAATACAATATTACTATGAATGAAATAGTAAGGAAATAATAATGGATGAAACTATAGAATGGTTGGAGAAGCAGTCTTATGAGATACATTCAAAGAAGTGTTCTTCTCATTTATATCATCTTCCAGCTATACATGCTACCGCTGTCACTACTGTTCTTGATCTTAAGGTAATTGGGGAGTCGGATACATCAACAAATACTGATTCCTTTTACTTTGACACATTATGAACTGACCACCTACTTGCTTGGTCAAATCAGTTTGGAAGTGATCAAAACGCCAGTTGTTTGGAAGAACCTATAACACCATGCGTAACACATGTCTAAACCGCTAAAGCTAATAGTTTAAGATTACTTTGATTATTGAATAACAGTCTTTTTTAGACGTAAACATTTGCTTTCAGTCCTCAAATTACTTACGTGCTCAAACTCAGATTTAAAGGACATCTTAAGGTTATGCAGGTTAGCCTTAATAAGTATTGAGCAGGACTATGCCTAAATATCCTACTGTCTGCACTATAAAGTTACGCTGATATAGTGTCGAAAATGGTGAACAACTCTCTGGTCTTCAATATACAGTTGAAAGTGACAGAGAATACCTAAAGCTTAGGATGAGGATGATTTTAATTTGCTGGTCTCTGACGTTCAGTATATAACTACCAGGAAAATAATTCTTTTGAGTACTTTCAATAGAGCATATCAAAGAGTAAGCGTGAGCACAGGCGGCTTTCAATGTTGTAAAATAAAGTTGTTCGACAGATGCATGACCTGTTAACTTTATGTTTGTTTCCAGTCATATTACAGCAATAGTTTGGGTTATTTCCTCCTGATCACTAGCATTTTTATCCTACTTTTATGTGGTTTCTATATCTGATCACAGTCAGCCGAGGCTGTAATTAGAGAATACTTCCTATAAAGCTAACAAAATATACTGATCATTGAAGCATATAGCAGTAAACAGTAGTAGTAAGTCATATGATTATCACCTTTTCCAACCAAAAAACATCGAAACTATTATCTTCTGAAAGAGATGAATTATTCTACCAAAGTTTTCCTTGAAGGCGTTTTGGAAGCATATAATTTGACTACTCACACCTTTTCACGACCTCCTTGTCTTACCTACCCTAATTAATTGCGACGTCTAACTAAATTTCTAGAGATTTTTATCTTGTCTGTATGAAATTCATCTTAGATTTGATAGAATAGCGTTTTGAAATGCTCACAAAACTTGCATTCAATTGAGGACGATGTAGTGATAAGAGATATGTCTCCCATCACTTCCACTGTAAACTGAAGGCTGTTTTTTTAAGAAGTGTATGGAGTGGAAGCAAACTTTTGAAGAATTAAAATCAACATTAACAATGAATTATTTATTCTGTTTTAATTTATGTATGACTATAAAAGTAAACATCGAAATACAAGTTAATTTTGAGAATCATGTGGTTACTATGAGCAAAAGATTCTGCATGTAAACTTATCTGGTAAACATTACTGTATGTGCTATATCAAATAAACAATCTAATTACAGAATGAAAATATTTTTTTTTAAATTAAGGAATACTAGATTCAGTACTCTAGAGTTTTGAATATTTAAATGAATCAAGCTTTCCTAACGATACGTTGAGAAGTTCCACTCATTATTTGGTAACAGAAACTGCAATCTAAGATTTGGTGGTTGTAAATGTTTGGTGTCTTTCAAGCTTTAATTCTTGACCGTCAACATTTTGTTACCAGCCTGGGTTATTTCATTTGAGTTAACTTCATAAAAGGTGCTTTATTGTGTACTGATGACAACTTTCTTCCTATGTTCTAAGTTGTTGGTAGATCTGTTTCGAAAAGAATTCTCATGGAAGTCTACACTGTTGTGTGAAGCAGTGTTAACAGTTGACGATTTGTTTTAAATCATATTTATCTTGTTCTTGAGTTACAATGTGGTAATTTAAATACCCCCATCGTGATAATCAGAAAACAGAGTTTGAAGCGAATACGTTTTTCCGATCAATTCTTGTCAGGCTTCACAATTAAATTGTTTTTGTTATTATCTCCTTTATGGTTATCCTCTAACTTACATGTCCGAATTCAGTTAGTTATATTGATATCAGGTAAGTTTGCTGAATAATTTGTAAATGTAATTGTAAAGCCTGACGAGAACTTACTGAAAGTACGTATTCACTCCAAACTCTGTTTTCTGATTATCACTATACAGTAGGGTATAAGGTCAACCAAGGTATTACTGGGACAATCATTCAATCTGGAAAATTTTCACTTCTGTGGGAGTCATTACTGATGACACCACTCAATTTTGGGATGACGTATTCAATATCAAGTGTCAAATCCCAGAGACGCTGCAGACCATAATATCATGTTTGTTTACCTGAATCACCACAACATAGTCACAACTTTCTTTCTTCCAGAAATCATCATTCAACTGTTTGATAGGCTTGAATTAACACAGGGTTCGAAGAAATAACTTAGTTTGAGCTGATTTTGTTCAGTATTTTACCTGAAAGATACCTAGTTGTAAATAATCTGTGTACTTAGTTCTGGTATAAATAAGTAATCGAGTACCCTAATAAAATAAAATTGTTTCTAAAGGAGTTCAGCTCTCCTGAAGTGTCTTAAGTTGACCTGATGAAATTTTACTGAAGGTTCTACATCTGTTTGTCTATTTGTAATAGGAAAGGAGACATGGGTTTTCGGTGAACTTTACATTCTTGCTGTTTATCCATGCTGCTGGGGCCCCATATAACTTGTTTCGTTGCATTTTCCCTTGTATAAGATCTATATCAGTAGTTTTCGGTAGATAGGTCTATTACATTTTCGTTGTTTTACAGATACGAATTACGGTGAAATGTGATATTCCAGTACAAGTTGATGGTGAACCATGGATTCAACCACCTGGTCAAATTATTGTTTTACGCTCAGCTTTGAAGGTAAGAAAACATTATTTGTATGATTTCGGCTAGATCTTGATATGAAGTGTCAATATAAACTAATTAGCAAGTTTTAGCTACTCTAATTTACTATTTTCTCCTTTGTATGTTTCACTAGAGAGGTATTTGTCGTTAACAAATTCCCTGATGAGTGTCATTTTAACTCTCTATGTGTCTCAATCAAAAATACAAGTATGCTAGTATCTAGATCACATTACTGACTTGAGTACGTTTTGCTTTTTAACACGCTGACACGATATAATATCCAAGTAGTGCTTTAAGGTTTTCAGTATATAGAATGACTAGATATCTAGATACTTACAGAAGTTCGTGCAATAATGAATTGACCAGGTTACTGAAACAAAAATTCATGAACACAAGATAACCGTATTTATCAGTTTTGATATTAAAACATGATTATACAAAGTCACATCCATGACGTTCATTGAATAGCAGACTAAAACTGACAGTCTTCAACAAATTTATGATAAACATAGGCAGCCATAGTAATCATCAGTATGACTGTTTATCTGATCACCTTTAATAACTCGTTCAAATATCCTTTTTTTCTCTCTCTCACTACTTGCTTGTAAAATTCGATTTTTTAAGTACATTTAGCATGATAATTGATAACACATAATTGAGTTATTTTATCAAATGATGTTTATTTAGTATGTGATGCTGTCCATAATATAATTATTGTTTCCCAAATAATAAAAAGGAATCCCATTTGATAAGTAAACAAAACCGTAACTATTTGAATGGAAGAGGAAAATAATTCAATCTATGTGGTTTGTGGAGATTTGTTAATTTGAAAGTAGGTTTTATAACGGATTGACATCATTTAGTGAAGCGTTGAAAGTTCGCGAGCACTGGAAAGCTTTGTCATCGTAGTATGGGACTTCTCAGCAGTGCGTAGGCATAATCTTTTGAGGGGTCAAGCCCAAGACCTTCAGGTCTGAAAGTGACCTCATAACCACTCAGCCATTGGGATGGGATACAATGGTTCATATTTTCCTACTTGCATCATTTCACGTTATAACACAACTATTGATCATCCACTGGTATCTACCAGTACTTTTTCTGCACGCCTGCTTTGTTGACCTCACAAGTCACAAATTCTCACTTCAATTAATAAATTTCTACAATCCATTAATTGGATTTTATGATTAGCTCGAAGCTGAGGGATGCGAGAAAAGCTCTAGCTCGAAACATAGAAATACTACTTATCGTGTGCACTTTCGTTTCTTATAGTGTGACTATCATCCACTTTCATTGTTGCGCATTCCCTTCACTTCGAGCTTCGTTTTCAAGGGTTTTCAAAATAATCTCATTCCATAATGAGGGTAATTTTAGGGAAGTAAACATCCAGACAGAAAAATATTCTTTCGAGGTTACAAGCACGTCACACTATTGTTTCCAACTTTTATAAAGCCCAAGTTGCGAAGCCTCATGCCAGAATCTTTGTAGCGAAATACATCATAATTTTATTTTCATTACGTTCCACGGTCATCGTGAACTTCTTGGTCAGTAGAATGGTGCTAGAAATCTGCATTATCTGCAGTTGAAGATGTATTATATAGTTTTAAGAGATTTTCTGTTTCTCTGTTCTTTGTATTATATTAACCAGCTATTCTCCATAAGCTTGCAATACTATTAATTCTTTAAAATTTAATCGACTATATACTAAGTCGGATTAAATTCCTGGACCGCTTTGTAATAAGTGGTTGTTTACGCATACCCTGTTATTTTTCTTTAAGGCTACCATGTTAAAAAAGCGAAAAAGGCGTAAAGTTAACCGCCGTCATACGGAGCCAGGTTTAGGTGGTTCTGGAGGTCCGGGAGCAACTGGTTCGAATCCTATAGATGGTAGTACAGAAGATCCTTTGAGCAGTGCTGTATTTGGTGCAAGCGGTCCTCCTCCACCTGAAAGTGCTTATTTCATGGGAACTGGAAATCCAAGTGGTAAACAACTTGAAGCTGATATTGCCGAAATCGATTTAGAAGCGCAAGCCTCGCCTGATTCTTACGTTCCAAGTGATCTCAGTGCTGTTAATACAGCTGATTCATACCCAAGATTATACAGACCAGGTCGACCAGTTTATTCTAAAAGAAGAGGACGTCGTTTACCAAAGCCTATCTTAGTTGCAGTACCATCAGCTCCATCAGAGACATGTAGATTACCAAGTGAAATACTTGACAGTGATGATTTCGAAGATACAACTGCCTTATGTCTTTCTACATCAACACGACTGAAACAAGCACCAATTAGTCCGCACTCAACACCAGATCAGCATTCTCCAGTTATACAACACACCAAAACCTCAACAACTTCTGCTTCAATGAGTGAGTCGGGCTCACCAACTGATAAAAAAGAAATAGAATGATGCCTAATTATTTTATTTTTCCTGTAATCAATTTAAGTAAGTTATAGATTTAATTTTAAGGTAATTAAAATTTTTCTTAAATAATGGAATTAAGGCATATTTTTGCTTCATGAGATGATATCTTTAGTCCCACAAAGTTTTTGAAATCCTGAATTGTTTATCCATGGTCTGAGTGAATAACCTTTTCATATAATCTTTATCCCTAATGTGATATAGAGTCCAACGACAGATGGATAGTGATGCAAGCTCAACAATTCATTATTTTGCATTTCGTTTACTTCCGCTGTTCATAAAATTTTTGGTTGACAACAATTAACTTTTAGTAAGTTGTGTTGCATGCATTATGGTTAGAGGATTAACACTGGATAATTAGCGTTGAAACTTCATTCACTGACGTCATTCATGATGACCGACTTGAAATTAAAGCATTGTCAATATCCTGTGTTTGCTTGAAATGTTACACAGGGAGCAGTAAATTGATTGCAAATCTACGCAGAAATATAATGATGATAAAAAATCACTGTCATTAACTTACTTTCTCAACGAGTTGGGAGGAACGCCATATAGTGCATTAAGACCTGGTAAGAATATCTTTAAATATGGGCTACACTATAAATATGGCTTAAATGTTATGTAAATTGATTGATGGTCAAAATATTCTCTAAAATATTGAAATGCATCTAAGCAAATACCCACTTGTCCGTACAGTAGTAGACAGTGAGTCACACCTATTGATGATGTGAGGCGCTAATAACACTATTTGACTGCTCAAGTCTCGATAGATGAAGTGGTGTTCAAACCCCTAATTCAATGATTGAATGTCAAAAGCCTAGACTAGTGAGCCACAATTCCATAAATTATTTTGTCTGTGGTAGTCAAAGACAATAGCCATTTGATGATTAGCAATGAGCGAATATTTTGTTTTATTTTAAATAAACCAAAAAATTCCTTTTATTGTACCAGTTTGAAGAGCTATTTAGACGAAGTAAGAGCTAGTTGGTGGAAAATAAAAAAAGTAATAAAAACAAGACTATTGAAAACTCTTTCATCCATAGTCAGTTTATTTATAGCAGATAGATGGATATGATCTCATCGAATACTTACTTTCAAATCTGTATACCTTATTACGTAAGTCTTGAATGAAGTGAACTGTGTGATAGACTTGGAATACAATATATTACAACTAAAATATTATTAACACCTCATACAGGCAAATCAACTTAGTAGATGTGTTTAAGTTGCAACAAGTCATAGCAGCATGCAAAGAAAAGTGGATTAAAAAATGGTATCGAAAAAAAGAGAGAGGAAGCGTAAATAGTTGGAGGTAGATAAAACATATTCGGAATTTCTATGATCAAGGGTGAATACATTTGTACCGTTGCAATTGATTTTGAACCACTTCCCTGATGAGTTCTTATGTCTTGAAGTCCTCAGTTAAACAGCCTACATCTGCTCACATATATCAGAACAATTATCAAAGATGTCGGAGATATGTGACACTTCTTGATCTGGCCATCTGTAGCTATCTTTCAACATAATCTTACTAACAGGATGTGTAGAGGTGGACAATTTTTTGATATGTAAAGGACATTCACGTCACATCTGTCGGTGAAGAGTTTCTAATCTTCTTGTATCCAAGCTAAAATTCCGCTGGTAACTGACCAGTTATGGTTGTGGAACTTTCGAAGTGTGTGAATTAGTCAGGGTCTCTTCACCACTTCACTTCCTCTCTTCTAACTAGGTGTAGGTATACATTTCGTATTTGATAGATGCAAATTCATGTACACACTCAAATGTTGGCTCAAATCTTTTAAAAGAGTGGATTCTGTCAGCGTTTTCTCTTAACAGGACTTTGTCATCTGAGTACTTGAAGTCAGTTAATTGGCTTCCGGACTCTAAGCCAATCCTTTTGAACGTTGTACGTGCTTAACTTTACGGTCATCAATACATTTTCAACAAAGTTGAATATTAAATGGTGAAAGTCACCATCTTTGCGAAACACCACTCACTATTATCATCTGAGTTGGAAAATGTCGTTAAGCTGTTTCATAGTTATTTGAATTTTAGTATAGACTTGAGTCGTATGAAATGCTCGTTCGCTACTTCATCATCGTGACACTGTAATAAAACCTGTTGACTGATGAGGTGCGATATTGTTTTCGGGTCAAAAACTTGCCAAATGTCGGTCACCAGGAAGTAAACCATCTTTCAGAACCTGTCAAACGGTGATAAACTGATAGATATACCCTTAAGTAAGGAAGTTGTCTATTTTCTTGAGTTTGTTGCTTTGGAGCTCCAGTTGGTTATTACTGTAGTAACCAGCATACTGAGTGAGTTTTACTTGAAAAAAAAGCTTTTATCAGTTAGTTTTACTTCAAGATTTAGAAGGTTGATTTTTTGAACAAATAACCGTCATTCACCAACTCTCGATATTCATTTTGGAGGTGTATTGGAAACATTTATTCCTAAGTAGAATTCACCATGTAGAGATTGTATCTAGAGAACCATTTTAATCACGAAAAAAAAATGAATATCAGTTTTTTTCCGAATCAGCGATTTGATTATTCAGAAGTGTCCACCCATAATTCTTTGCTGGTTAAAGCGCAGACTGTCAAGTCTCGTGACAAGTAATGTACTATTCAATTAATGAGTTTGGATTTAATACTCCGCATTTTTCAGTATCTTTCAATTTCTGATTTATTCCAATTATCATGTAATAAGTGAACGTTTGTATTGTGATCTACCATTGGTTATCTGCATATACTATGGTTTCCTACCAAGATTTTAGAAATCTCTTTTTTATGAAGCACGTCATTAATGAGCAGTAGGTGAGTTTTTGAGTTGATTGAATAATTTCTTAAATGATATAGACTTGTGATGAAAACTATTTCAACGTTTTAACTTACTGTTCTACATAGCAACTTTAAAAATATTTTTTGAAATATCTTATTTCAGACATCTTTCAACGACAACTACATTCCATTCTTATGAATAATAATGATGATTTTTTATTTGAGAAGCGGCTCTGAATAAATTCTTATCCAATGGAGTATATATATACATAATTCAGCTTCGAAAATGTTTATATATATATACGTGATGCTTCAAAAAGCAAAACCTTTGTCAGTTTCATCTAGTTATAAATTTAATCTTGTATACAAATTTTAAAGTAGCCATACATATGCATATATGCATTTTCCTCAAAATGAGAATATATTTTTAATTTATTCAACGTTGCGTATATTTGTTTGAGTAATTTATTATTTACTTTTCTGATTGTTTGTTTATTTTCGTGTTTATTGTTTTATCATTTATCTCCGTCCTAATATATGACTTTTGTCAACAGACTACTACTTCTACTACTACTATGATTACTAAATTAATTAGTACATAGTCTTCATTGCACTGAACAGATGTAAAAAGAAAATATATGTCTGTTAACTTATTTATTTTATTGTATATAATATAGTCTACACGGTATTCTATTTCTGGTTTGTACGTCTATAATTTCCAGTGTTTTATTGTTTATTTAATTTTGTTTTCTTAGTTACTTTTTCTTTCCTTATTTATATCTACTCAAATAAACAAATAGGTTATATCTTAACTCAATAGTTAATCATACGAAAGTAGTTTCATCTATTTTTGTCTTTCCCAGTTAACTGACATATATCCATGTGCAATATTATCCTAAATACTATCTGATCGTGTCAATAGTTTATATAGTTTGATTTATTTATTTTTTCCAATCAAGTTTGTCAAAATTGTCTGACTATCGATCAATAAAAACTTGACTTATGTTTTATCCTCTTTTAGCGAAACTAATTCTTCACACCAGATTTATGGTGTACTCAATTTACGCAGAAAGTTGCTTGTTTTTCACATAGCAGAAGAATTTATATTTGTGCAATATTAATTTTTCATTTAACTGTTTACAGTGTTATAAATATCTGCCTTTTTATTAGCTGTCATTTTCCTTACCAGATGGGATTACATAACTTGGTAAACGTACCCCTTATGCATATATATGCACATCATACTACTTACTGCATATATTATGTTTACAGACCACTTATTTGTACAGTAGTCGGAAAACATTCCTTTACTGCAAGTCAAAGTAAAGTGCAGGCAGTTGACTGTTTCTTTATATCCGCGACTCCATATATATATATATATATATATATATATATATATATATATATATATATATATATATTCATAGTGAATCCCAATATGCTAATGATTTTAAATTTACCCACTTCGCTCACATTAATTTGTTCAAAATGTCAACGGAGAAACTTTCTTTCAGCGAATACCAGGAGTCAAAAAGAAGTGAGAACGTCTATACTTCATTGTTTAGTCCTATTGTGTATTGTTGTTGCGACATTATAAAAGAAGAAAGCTATGATTCTTACTTCTTATTTTTATTATGATCATTATTTATGAGTGCTTTTACAAAAAAATATTATTATTGTTGTTTAGTTGTCTCGCTTCCAAATACTTTGTCTGTCTTTCTGTGTGGTGCAATAATTTCTATATATGTGTGCATGTACACACACATGCTTTCTCTATGAATCTCCCTTATTTCTGAATCGTCAAGTTCTTTCCCAAGTCTTCGTTTTGTTTGCCTACATACTGATCATGTGACAGAGAAAGAAAATGCACATCTCTCAGATAAATTTGAAAAGTATATTATTAGTAAATTTCGTTAGTATACTCTTCATTGCTAAAAAAAGATCATAATGGCTGACTTTTTTTGCAATTTCGTTGATTCTCTTGTTCTTTGGCTAAACGAACAATAATGATTACGAATTTTATCGCCATTTTTGTAGTTATTACATCTTATTGTATGTTCCACTTTGCCTATAACTCATCATTCTAATCAGACTTAAATAAGAATTTTGTTTTACTATTTTTGTTTTCTTCTACGTCTTTTTGACTATTGCGTTTAGATTTCTACTTTATTTATTTCCTATTTGTCTTTTTTTCTCATTATATTCTGTTTTAGAAATCCGAATTCACTTTTACTCATTGCGTTCGATTATTGTTATTACTAACACTATTATTATTTTCACTATAATGATTACTGACAGTGTCATAGGTTAATTTTAATGAATTGCAACTAGACTGTTTCATTGATAAGCATGCCATAGACAACATAACATATGATAAACTGTACACAGAACTAGTGAATTAAACCTAATATGGTATACTCATCAACATAAACTAAGATAAATACAAAAAGCAAATTACTTAAATTAATCATCTACACTTATACATAGACATTTATTTTTGCAGAGCTGTGTGCCATTTTAATAACTTGTATTCAGATAATGACAATGCTACTAATGATAATAATGATGACAGTAATACTTATTAATGCAATAAAAGTGTTTTCTTGGATTGACCTAAGTGGGGTTTATACTTAACTTATTTGACCTACTTTCTACTATACATATATATATTCTACGATAAACTGCTTATCCTACAAAGGTAGCGGTGTTCAATAACTTAGAAACTCTTCATATTCTTTACATTTATGGCCATGTCTCCTAGCTGTCAGGAACAGCAAATATCGACGGTTGAAAAATATCTGACTGTTAGGATTCCAATCCGAATTGACCACTTAGAAGGCGGTAGTGGTAATTACTACTCCAAAGTCATATTTTGCAGTAGTACAATAAAACTTTTCTAACTGCTGCAAAGTGTGCTCAGCTAATAATCATCAATCCAAGATTATATGGTTGGCGTAGATCGTGAAAGTTGACAGAAGCCGATTGAGGCTTTTATATTACCGTGCATGGGTTTCATCTTCGCCTAATCCTTCACTGCTGTTCATATTCTCAAACAGTTTAAGTGATCAACGGGCTGAACCACCACTCCGTATTGTTAGATGTGGCACCAATGCAGACCATTTCTGAAGGGAAAGTTTGCATTTGGGTGGTGAGAAATGCATCATGAGAATTCGTGTTATCAAAGTTTGAACCTGAAGTACTGTTATAACTCATATGAAGAGAATTTCTTAGTTTTTCATCCAACAGCTAGATCTGTTCGCTTTGATTTCAGAGCCTACTTATATGTCTAATTAAAGGAGTGTTTCATAATGAGACGAGGTGGATATTTGGTTCTTTTCTGTATTTAGAGTTTGCTCTTTTTATTGTGCTGTTGAGATTATAGTCAATATTCAAATAAACCGTTTGGGTGGGTATGCTTCAAAGTTGTACATATCAATTATGGAAGTATTATGAGTAGAAGATTTTCGTTCTTCAATCTTAATGTCAAGGTAGCTAGACAAAAAGCGCCCAAAGTAGCACCTTCGAACTTTTGAGTGACTATTAATAGTGAGGCAACTAATGTTCCGTAGTTTGACAGTCATTTTCATGTTTCGTTGAGGACGAAAATATTCTAATAACACCTTTTGAACCGTAATGGACTTCTACATATTGAATTGCACAGATTCGCAATACGCTAAAGGTATTTTATTGCATGCGTCTTTCTGACTAGTGCTAATAAGCATTAACCCCAGGCTTAAGGCTTCCCGCCGATCAACTTTTTTATAGGTAATGCTAAAATATGGTGAACTACAATCTGATGTCTTTAACTTAGTTGCCACAGTGAAAATGTGATTGATAGACTTCATTGTTCAATTCACATTCAACAATATAATCCGTAAGCGAAACGACGGGATTACTTTGAATTCCCTTGACCTATCGCTGGCAAGGTTTTTATGGCGGTTCCAAAAACTGGTCTATCAGAGTCAACAGTGCATGATTCCCAGCTGCATATAATATACTTTGATGGTTTTAAAAAAATCATATTCAATAAGTATTAGTACGTGATCATGTACTGCTACCCGTGATAAATATGCTCCTAAAATGGAAAGTAGTTCCAAAATTTCATTTCTTCATGAAGAAATGATAATGAAATTATGGAACATTATTGAGGTCAATTTACAAAACCTTACATAGGATGTTTAACTGCCAAATGTCTGCAGTTAGAAGCCTTTCAGTCTCAGTAGAAACTTTATTATATCTCTCGCCACACATATCGGATATATTTGCAGCCCCAATGCGTTAGAAGATAAAATAAACCTTCTTAAAAATATCCTGGTAGAAAAAAGATATCCGCCTCTTTTCCAAGGTAGAAAAGATAACCCAAGACTCAGAGAGATCGCCTCGCTTCTGTAATGAAGAAGATGGTGTATATGAACCATTAATTTAAAAGGGATCCAGTTGCTGATATTTTAAGGAGAAGGGTTTCCAACCCTCCACCGAGGATATTCTTTGCAATAACTTTAGGTCAGTTTTCATCAGTCACCCACAATGTTGTACCAGTCTGAATTATATGGTCTTATTTCTGACTCCCTCCATTTATACATACCAATCCTCCTGCTCATAGGAGCTAGGTATTTCAGTCGCTCAATGTGATTCCTGTCTAATAGGATCCAAGAAACTTATTCTGCATGGTTACGAAGAAACAGTAAGGAGTGCAGTAAGTAAACATCTCTTTGACACTTACTATGCAGTTTCAACAATTTTCTCTTTCAAAGTTATAAACGAGATGATAAGGAACCTGCCAAATCTACAGTATACTAACGCCGACTAATCGCACTCCTACCTTCTAATCTCCAGTCTATCGAACTAAGTTTTGCACAACCAGTTGGTCTAAAACTGCCATACATGGCGAAAATTTTGCAAATATCCTTATCAAAATCATAAATACTTGAAATATATATTTATTATACCCATTTTGCTATCTTAAAGTACAACCAATTTTTTGGGACAATAGAGAAGATTTGTATCTAATGATGAGGATTATACTTGTTCGGTATTCTCTGAGCTGTGATGTTTGTTTTTAGATGTTTCATTACCCAGTTAGGCAACTTCATATATAAAGTAAATGCTTATGAATTCATCTGGCCTAACGATGAAGCGTCCAAAGGCAAACATCAAAACACGGAAAAAGTCAAGTAATTATTACAACCAATTTTATCCGTATCAATAATGTCACGTATTGAGCAACTGTAAAGATAAACAACAGTCATACAGGGTAAAGATTTACTGATCAAGTCGTTTTGTTATAATCATACAGAGGCTGTGTAGCATGGCAGCACGCATTCTTAAGTATGTAATTAGCTCCAATTTCAATCTTTCGTGTATCATCTGTCCTGAGATAACATATACTTGTTAGTGGACGCACGCGAGTTCTGCGTGTTTACCAATTTATTATTCAACCGACGAGTTTGTTTTGAATTCTTGTCAAAATATCTTCCTTCATCTAGATGAAGTGATAAATCATAACTGGTTATACAGCGTAATAAAAATTGATAACCAGCCAATTTTAAGCACGTATATTTTTCAAAGAGGAGGTTGAAAATTATTCTTTTGTGATGATTATCATTTCATTGTGAGTTTACAAGATTGGTGGTCAAACTTGAGATGAAAATATCGTTTGCAACAGGATTCGAACACAATAGGGATCTGAATTATCGGCTCAGCAATCTACCAACTACTCCAACTTCTTAATACGACTCATTTTCTCTTCAGTTACCGAAATTTGAGTCCAGCTGTCGTAAGAATAAACAAGTCATAACACTCTATTTGTTATCGCCACACGTTGTGTAGTTACGTCTTTTTACTCTATTTTGAATTAGACTAAATTGGAGATAGAGAGCGATATATCTGATTATTGGACCTCCTTGGTAATTCAGCAAAGCATCGAAACTAGCGATTTAAATTTCCTTCCTCATAACTCTCTTTCCGTTCATTAGATTAAACTAGGGTGAATCTATCAATCAATCTAGTCAACATATCGTTGTTGTCATTCACTTGATTGATTTCATATTAATCAGTCAATTTTAAAAATCATATTTTAATTAACTGCTGTTATAAAAGAAAAGATAGTAAATTAGAAAATAATTTTTGATACAAATGAACTGTCATTCGAAGAAGTACTGATCATTAAAGATTATGTGATTGACAACATTTTAGTTTCAAGTGGAATCTATCAGTTATTAATTTGTTTAATGTTCTATAGAATCATTGACAAATTTACTGGTTCTTACCATTTTTTTCCGACATAAGAGTAGTTTTGTAAACTTTGAAAATAAGACTTTTGGTTAGAAACTGCACTGTCAGAACTATGTGTTACAATCTTCCAGCAAACGTGTTACGGAATA